CAAAAATTTACAACTACAGAAGAATCAGTTTGACCAATATAGTGTCCAAAGTAGTGTCAGTAATCATCAGACGATTGACTACGGCTCGTAATGAGTACACCCAGACAGGTTTCAAGCCTTGACATGGATGCCAAAATTAACAAGGCATTAGGAAGAACATGGAAAGATAAGGACATTTCAACCAGGTTTTCTATGGTGGTCTATCTCCACAAAACCCCTTCTGATAATCGATATTATTTAACTGTGTTGAAGACAGAAATATGATAATCTTTGGTGACTAGCAAAATAAATACTCACTTCACTGGTAATAATGGCAAACACCTTTCATTCAACATAAACACATTAATTAAGACACAACAAAACTGTATGAAAAAAAGTACTTCAAAGTAATATATTAGCATTCCATTAAAAATATTTGTAAATATTAAGCTCAGTTTATTTTTTTGGAAAAAACAAAGTCAGAAAATGAGTGAAAAATTTTATAAGTAAAAGTTAATGTGAAAAACAACATAGATGGATTCTTTATAATATTTGGCAGCCATTTCTATCTGATTTCTTCAGACTCCAACGCAACCAACTCAGACCACTTTCAGTATACGGATAATAACGGATTCTGAAAACAAATGTATGTTCGATTTGTAAGTGTTTATATCTTTCCGTTTATATTAAGGACTGTAATTATATTAATACAGACATTTAAAATGGTTGTAACATGACAGTACTATTCAAGAACCCATCATCAATGGAGGTTTAAACTCTTTATAAACTATTAGAGTGACATTTATTTTTTAAAATAATGGATTTTTTTATCAGTTTCCAATAATCAGATAACCGGTTCACATTTCATCGTCTTTACAGTAGAACGGTGGCTTGTGACCTAAAGCGTTCAACTTTAGCCAAAGTCCCAGGTTTGAACTTCGCCTCACTCATTCCTATTTAGGAAACCATATATCATTAGCCCATACGATTAGATTGTGGGTCATACCTAAGAATGATTTAAGTAATTTTTTATCCTTACAACGATTTGATCACTGTGATAGGCTTTCTACTTTAGCAAATGTGACTGAAAGCATATATATATATATATACGTCCACCAAATGCCCTGGTATGGCTGAGAGTGGAGAGAGTCCGCTCTCCCTCTCGAAATGCTCTCACATGGCCACGCGCATATAGTCTCTGTCAGGGAAGTCCTACTCACTGCCTTCTCATGGCACTACTGTTCTTTACGAAATTCAGAGGACGAAAAGCGAATGTCCGGCACATTAACCAGGTTCGTGGACACGGAATGTTCCCTTAGAGGAGTTGGAAAACCCTGATTCCAAACCAATGGTGCACATGAGCTCCAGTATCCTGAGGGGACAAGTTGCGTATGAATCAATCGTCGGTCACCGGCTACCATGGGACTGCATCTCCTCACGATGCTACACTGCCTTGTGGGTCAGACCTTTAGGTCAAAGGCTCCGGGTGTGACTTCCTAAGAAAACCACATGCTTCAGTTTGGGAACCTGGGCAGTATCACAGCCCACACACAAATCAAATGGTATTAGTGTGGCGCATGAGTATCTGGTGCCTCCTTGTACCAATATTTATGTGTTTAAAAAAAAACGCCATACTTCGTTATTCGATTTGTGTGAGGGCTGGAATACTAATCGGGCACCCAAACTGAAGCATACTCTTGTTACCAGCGTTCTTCTGAATATAAAAGGAACATTGAGGCTAAATAAATTTTCGAAATAAATATAATATCAAATTAAATACGTAACTGCAACTCAGAGGCCATGAGAATACTTCTGTAGATAGTGCGTATCTAGGTAAGATAATTTAATCATGAACCCTTCGTCCTATTTATAAACATCACCAGTAGCATAAACCAGGAAAAGAAATAGTGACCCGAATATTGGTCTCTGAGTAAATCGAAGTTAATGAATCATGATTTAAGCCTGTGATTTGATGGTTGCAGTTAGAACAGATTAGTCGAATAATCAAGTATCAACACTGTTTCTTTACATGAACAATACACTTATCTAAGATATTCCTTTTAATAATTGATCACAAATTGGTAACAAGACTGGTTTTGTTAGTTTACTGTGAATCCAATGTAATATTTATTTACCTCTAGAAAATGGGAAGAAAGATTAAGTTAACTATTTCGACTACAGTTAGTATTGAATTAATATCACCAACAATATTTAAATTGAGAGATATCTAATGAAAAAATTACAAACAATAGTTTAACTTATGAGAACAAAAATAATATTTCTATACAAATAAACAGCAGTACTTACTTGTTATTTATGTATTCGACTTCTGACTTGAGAATAACTGGGCGACGATGGGAAAATGTTTCGATCGAATAACGACCACGATAGTTCCCTATTCCGGAGTGACCAATACCACCGAAAGGAATATTTGGTACTAAAAAAGAAAAAAATTAGTCAGACAAATATTAATTATTGATATATTTTTATTCAAAAAAGGTATCTTGTGAAACAAAGCATAACCTAATGATTGCTTTTGCGCATACCTTTTCCGTGTATCTGGCAACCCGATGGCTAGTTCTGATGGACTGGCAGGTGTAGGCATAGCACTAAGTATGAAGGGAGGAGAAGCACTTTTAGAATGGATCCCTGCTAACAATCGCCTGTGTTATTCGGCTAGACAGTTCCGTAAGAACTCAGAAGGATAGTGACACAAGTCGTTGCCTTTTCGTTGTTTCTGCCTACGCTCCCACTGACTGCAACCATAATGAAGTGAAAGATGACTTTTACAGAAGGCTCTCTGGACTTCAAAAAGCTAAACGCTCGGACATACTACTCGTTGCAGGTGACTTTAATACCCAAGTCGGTAGCTTAAACCAAACAGAAAGACATTTAGGTGGGTATTTTAGTATCCCGGCTCGACGAACAATTAATGGTGACCGTTTACTGCAACTGTGCTCAGACAGTCGTTTATTTTTGACATATAATAATTGTAAGCATAAGGAGAGACATCGTCCAACATGGCGACCACCTGCAGTAAACCAACGATGGACTCAAATAGACCATATTGCCATCAGTCATCCTTGGAGAGGCTCGATAGAAGACTGTACCTCGCTCTTGAATACATGTTTAGACTGTGATCATGCTCTAATACGAACACGTATTTACTTGAGACTCACTGGACACAGAAAAGCCACATTAAGAAAATCCATTAGAGTTGAACTGGGGGACGAGAAAGCAAGTTCCAGAAACAACTGAGTTCACATCTAGACAGTTCTGTAAACGAGGCTGATCCAGATATTGCCTGGAAATATATACGAACAGCTGTGGAAACAGCAGTAACATCCATTAGTAATTTAAACAAAAAGGATTACGAAATACTAATGGATTTCTTCCAAGTCTATTGCACATATGGATTCACGTAAACTCATGCCATCAGGCTCCGAACACGATGAAGAACGAAAACAAATCAAATCTAGGTTAACCAAAAGTCTACGGAACGATCGTGAGCTGTGGTGGGCAACGAAAGCAAAAGAAACGGAAAAGGCAGTGGCTGTGGGCAACACCAGACAACTCTTCAAACTAATAAAAGAAACCCGGATCGAGAAGTCAAGTGTAAGTGAGACGACCTCGGAAAAAGAGGACACTCTTATCTGCTTTCAGTCTAGACGTTTAGAACGACGGGTGGAACACTTTAAGAAGCAGATTAGCTGGCATTCATCTACTCCACAGTACTCAACATCTCCAAACAACCTGAATGGAACATTGAAATAGGCCCCTTGACTCTAAGTGAAGTTTAAAAACTACATGTAATCTGAAATTAGGAAGAGCAGCTGGTCCAGATGGATTGGCTCCAGAGGTCTTTAAATATGGTGCTCCACTTTTAGTGATTAGATTGACTAATATTTTAGCTAAAATGTGGGAGTTGGACGTAATCCCATCTGACTGGTCGCAACCACTGATTGTGCCAATATATAAGAAGGGGTCAAAATCATCCTGTGATAACCATATAGGGATTAGTTTGACTAATATAACATCTAAACTACAGCCTTAATAATTATCGGACACCTAACTAAGACTCGTGAACTGCAAATACGAGTATATCAGGCTGGCTTCAGACTTGGTCGTGGCTGCATCGAGCACATATTCATCATTCGTCAGGTTTTAGAACACAGGAATACTTATCGGCGTCGGACAATGGTGGTCTTTTTTGACTTTAAAGCAGCATTCGACTCTGTAGACCAAGAGGTTCTGTGGAAGTGTCTGTCATTGAAAGGTGTACCTCAGAAGTACATAAACCTTGTGAAATCTCTTTACTCGAACACTACCAGTTGAGTGAGAGCTTACGGCGAACTGTCATATGATTTTGCAACCTCAAGCGGTGTCCGACAAGGTTGTTCACTATCACCATTTCTGTTTAACTTCATCATAGACCTACCGCTGGAAGTAACATTCTCGTCGACTGAATTTTCAGGAATTGATCTACCAGGAGGTCTACTTATTGACTTAGAATACGCAGATAACATAGTCCTGTTTGGTGAAGATGCTGACAAAATGCAGAGTCTTCTGTTGGAACTCAGTAATAATGCCAGGATGTTTGGGATGTTTCTCCCAATCTAAATAGGAATTGTTGCTCCAGAACTGGCCTGCATCAACACCTGAACTAAGGATAGGGAGTGAAGTAGTCGAACGCGTCGACAACTTCACTTACCTTTGAAGTCTGATCAGTTTTATTAAGTTGGTGTCTGATGAGATCTCTGCATGGATTCGTTTGGCTTTGCCAACTTACATCATCTATGGAGAAGGCGAGATATCCATCTATCAATTAACAGGTGAACATACTGCGCAGCACTTCGTGCTGTTTTACTTCACAGCTGCGAAACGTGGCCATTAAGAGTAGACGATTCTCGTAAGTTACTAGTATTTGATTACAGATGTCTTAGAAATATTTTCAGCATCTGCTGGGATCACCGGGTAATTAATAGTGACGTTAGACTCAGGGTATTAGGGAATGATGACAAATCAGTTGATGAGGTTGTGAATCTACATCGATCGAGAGGGTTGGGCCACGTATTACGCATGCTCAACCACCGATTACCACGACGCGCAATGCTGACTAGTATTGGGGATGGTTGGAAGAAAGTAAAGAGTGGCCAAGCCAAAACGTGACGTCAGTCCTCGAAGTCACTAACTATAAATCTGAGCCATGTTAGTATATGCAGACTACTTGGCTGGAGTCAGCGCGACTACCGCGGATGATCTTGATGAGGCATCCTTCTTCCCCTTACATCTTTCTGAAGAGAATGTGGAACATCTTCAGTTACCTCTATATCTGATTTTAGTGCTTCAACTGGTATGTTACCTGTACCTGCTGCTTCCACACTCTTGATTTGTCCAATGTCCACGCTGATTTCTTCAATTATTGATGGGGCGGCATCTATAGGAAGGTCTGTGTGTGCTGCTTTGATGTCCTGTGGGTTCAGTGGGGGTGGTCTATTCAGTTCTTCAAAGTGCCCAGATGTTCCTCTGTCCTTGAATCGCAGTGATTGGCCTGTCTCCTTTATTCTTGAGTGGTCGCTCTAGTTTACTATATTTCCCCCCCAGTTTCTTCGTTGTCCAATATTTTCTTATTCTGCAGCTTTTCAACTGTCAATGTAGAATCTTCCAGGTAGTTTCATCTATCAGCTCCAATACTCTTCTCCACCCGCTTGCTTGCTTTTGTGTATTCGGTTTGTGCCTTGGCTTTCTCCGCTCTTGTTCACCTGTTGTTCATTGCTGTCTTCTTGTTTTTCCTTTCTTGAACCTTTTTCAGGGTATCAGTAGAGATCCATTCCTAATGATGATGCTTCTTGTGGCCCAGCACTTCTTGTCATGCTCAAGTTACAGCTTCCTTAGTCCCTTTTTCAGCTGTTCTTCATGGTATTTTCTTTTTTTAAGTAGACCTTGTAAGGCTTGGAACCTGTCGCCAAAGGCCATATTGAACTTACTGAGTTTTTTCAGTATCTCGAGGACTGTATTAAACCTTCGTAATGCTGTTTTTTAGTCGCCCAGTGCTTCTTTAGCTTGAGTTTGATCTTGACCAAACCATGTAGTGATATGAAGCCAAATCAGCTCCTCTCTTTGTTCTCATATCTTCCACTGACCTGAATTTTTTTAGTGATGCAAATATGGCTGATCTGACTCTCTGTAGTGTGATCTAGTGAAACTATGTAGACTTCTGTATGCGTTTGTGAGGGAATATTGTGCCGCCTATAACAATTTTGTTGAACGTACATAAATTTGTGAATCTCTCTAACAATTTTTGTACCTTTCTCCCAGTCCATGTCGTCCGATGATAGCTCCATACCCGGTGTTGTCCATTTCGACCTTGGTGTTTAGGTCTCTCGTCATGATGGTCAGGTCCTTTTCCTATATACCTCTTTACGATCGATTGCAGCCTCTCCCCAAAACTGACTTTAATAGTTTTCGTTGCTTTCATTGGTGGGTACATAGCACTGAATAACATTAATTGTAATGCCCTTATTCTTTGTTTTGAAGAATTGTTCATTATTCTGGATCAATGAGACTCCCATCTCGTAGACAGCTTCTGTGCTTCTTAGGAAAGCATCAGTGCAACTCCCTCTGTATGCGAAACATTTCCTTCTTCAAGACCAGGGCACAAAAGTATCTTATCCGAACCTTAACTTCTCTGTTCAGCTTGGGTCCGATACGTTTAACTGATTCCGAGGACTGACAAGTTGTATCTCCTCATTTCCGTAGCTATTTGAATAGTCTTCTCGGTCCCCCACATTGCCCGGACATTCCATGTACCCATGGTAATTGTTGCTCTGTTTGTTAAAAGGGGTATCGATTTCATGACTTTCGAGGAATCTCGGCGTTTACCATGAGGCGTCGTAATTCTTCTAAATGAAGATCCTTTAACTCTCAAGGCAGAGTTTAAGTGGTTAAAATGATTCCTTATGGTTTATTTAGCAGGGTTATTTTCTATGGGATAGGGTTACTAACCTTCCTCATTAAGATTGGCTTAGGACTGGTAGTAACCCTAAGAGGGCTACAGGCTAATGATAGTTCCCTAAAACTACACAGTCAGCTGAAGTAACTGACTATCTTAGATAGCTAGAGGAAATTAATAAAAAGTCATAAACTTAGGTTTCGTGTTAGTCGGTAACGATCTTCAAGACATATCTAAATTCTTGAGGGAATTGATAATCTATGGTAAATTAGTACAATAGACAACGTTCTTAAAAAATCTTGGAAACTTATTAAACTGTCAAGTTAAATTACCTAAGTTTTTAAATTTACAAAGAAACAAAGCATATAAGCAAGTGTCGCACTCGATTTAGCTACGTGCTACAAATGAACTTTGTTGCTAACTACTGCGGAAATAAATTATGTAAAAAAATAACTTTATCCACGTGAAAACTACAAACGTAAATTTTTGTTCAATAAAAGAACCAGGAATTAATGTTTTGTATTTCACCATCTGAGATTACAGTGCAAATGAACTAACACAAATTAATAAGGGTGATTAGACTACAAAACTTTTTTAATGTTTGATAACAAACGAGTTATTGACTTACTAAGAGTATGTACACTACAATCATTCATCATAATCGCACCACTAGACGTAGCCATTTTGAAATCATTGAACACTGATTTGTTTCGAGTAAACACGTAAACGGCTAAAGGTTTTTCTCTAAAATAAAGAAACAAAAGAATTATACGTAAGATTCAAATAGGTAGGAATGAATAATAATGACTGAATCAAGTATGTGTGGACGACGCAGTCTATAAAGATAATGAAAACTTTACAGAACATCCAGCTAAGAGAACAGGATGCCTCCGATAAAAGACAATGACTAAGCATACAAGTCATAATTTACAAAAAATACTGTCTTTAATCCATTTGTTGGAATTTTTAGATAGCTGGATACAAGAATGGACTCATGAACTTGACTTCGACTGTGGTGTGACGTTGTTAATTACTTAAACCAAAATATGCAGGTTTATTGAGCCAGTATTGATTAAAGGCTTTGGCTTAAGGGTGAGTATAACTCACAATCTCATAAAAAAATTTCAATTCAATTTATACAATAATGAAATTGATCCGCTCTAAATACCAATTAAATCAATAAAACATAATTAAGAGTAGACTGACATTCAAAAGCTTAGGTGTTGAGTTATTTTTCAGTAGTTTCTCTAGAATATAATCGTCTTTATAACTGAATGTTTATCAATTTAATATTCTGTCAGAGATAAATTTTTGTAGCTTTCCCCAGGAAGTCGAACCACGCATATCGATCCACACTAATCAACCTGGATAACTGCCATTTATTCTGGACTACGAAACCTCAAAACCGAACTCACTACTCTCTTAGACTATAAGTGAATAGAAGCTATAAAAATGATATTATGATCAGATTTTAAGTTGCAGTTTATCAATAAGAAATTAAGGGGACTATTAGGGGTCGAAATATTAAGAACAAGAGCGTGTATCCGATAAGGTCAATCAATCAGAAGCGAGAAATTAATATGAACTCTGGGTTAATGAGAAATGACAGTTCAAGAAAAGCTAACTAATACTTGAATTTATGAGACAACTCTGAAGTGACTTGATATTTATGTATCTATATCAGAAGGTTGTTAATTCCGTATATAAATCATTCTACACTGTTTATCAGTCAAAAATAAAACATTAATATGCAGCAATACATTATAATTACTTGGAATTAATTATCCGAATAGCTTCAGAAGGTGATTTCACAGACAGCACAGGAAGTATTGGCCCAAAGATCTGATAGACAAGGAAAGACAAACTCACGAAGTAAATTTTAGCTGAATACATATTAACGTAAAATAACATTAACCTTCACATATTTTCAGTTTTCTGACGGAATACTTAGCGTGAGAATTAAAGTAACCAGCAAATATTGGTCAACCAGAAATAAGATTACTTGGATGGATGAACTCATTATGGTCAGAAAAAAGTTCAAGTCAAAATTCCGTACAATACTTTTATCAAAAACCTTTTAACTTTTAATCGTATTTATGACATAACACCGGAAATTAATGACATTTTCGGTCCAATCTTCATTACAGATTCGTTAACAAATTTAATTCCTTTAGACGGAAGTTTTTAGCATCGATTTAACAAATATCTAGGACGAATTTTCAGAAGACACCAAAGGTTGAAACTGTACATATTTAAAGTCATATATGAGATTTATATGGGAAAAAATAATATATTTTCGTGTTTTATACTTACGTCTTGATGGGCATTCTAATATCTTATCAGTATTGTAAATTGTATGAGGTTAACAGGCTTTCAGTATTAACATAGAAACTTTATTAACGTTAATACTAAAAAGACATCGAGCTATTTTTTCAACAAAAACATCACGTAAAAAAGTGAAGACAATACAGTGGAAAAAGGTAGACACAATCTCGTCGAAGTTGATAAAACTCATCCACTTAATCCATTATTATTAAAATAAGTAACGATATAGACTAGCTCTGGAACATTTGGCACAACAAAAAATGAATTCAGAACATTTCTAGGTTTCAACTAAATGTCCCTTTTAAGATATTTTACAGAAATAAACAAAAAAAGGCACCATCATCAGAGTATTCCGAGAATAATACTGCCCTAGAAAAATTCAATACCTAAATGACAAGGAAAGAATATCTCTAATGAACACTAATGGCTGTCGCCAGCCTAAACCATTATTTCCTGTAAATCTACAAGTTAAAAAAAGAAAATTCCATACAATTCCGAATTCCAGATAAAAAACAGAAATTGTTTACAAAATGCTATTATGGCTGGAAATGTTTTATCGTTGAATATGTTTGAACAAACGTTGCTTGTTGTACTATAATACACAATATGGAGATTTTTATCCAATATCAAGGACGCAAATTATATAAGAATTTATTCAATCATGTTAGGGTTATTTTGTCGATTGATTGCTGCCCAAATTGTCCGACTTATGGTTGTTACTAGAAACACATAAGAAACCATTTTAAGTAATGGATAGATATAAAATGCAATGTATGTTTAATGATGTACTCATGGTTTATGTTAGCTACTTTTGCATTTCAAAAATGACCCAACTTGTTATTTAAAGGTTATACATGTTCGATCCAGTAGAATTCTTGAATTAATTAGAAAAACGTATGTACAATAATACTCGCTAGCAAAGTGGTTATTAAAAATAATGAATAAATCTAACCTCATCTTGCATTAATATATCCTCTTCATCAACATCAAATACAACAGTTGGGGCAATATATCTGTCATTCACATCTGACATGCCACCGACCATAACTTTGCCTTTAGTTTGTTTCAGTAGACCTGTAAGACGCCTGACAGACGAAATTAAAACGGCTGTTTTACAAGCTAGTAATTTTAAAGTATGATTAGTATGCAATGACAATAACATGAACTGAGTAATTATTATGATTCTTATCATGATTATTACTTACATTTAGTTCACTTCACATCCTGTATACTTTAATATTAGTCAAAAAATAACATGAACTGCTGTATATTACTGGCAGATTCTTACATAAGCACAACGACGGTATGACTTTCAGCTTCTTTTACCGTAACACATATTGTTAACTTGACTAAACACTTGTTTCGTGACTAAAGGTAAACACCTGTGTGCAAAGTTTAGTGTCTTTCCTCAAAATATTCGTAAACTAGTGAGATAATTAGTGAAGTAAATAAAAACTTAGTTTTCCCTGTTTTCCGGAGTAAAATTATAAGTTTCACACACTAACTCTAAAAAACACCGAATAAAAGTGAGAACTGTTTAACGAACGTTTATCACTAAATTAAACCATTTAAACAGTACACCTTTTTAAAGAAATTCCAATAATTTCATATAAGCAACAGTAAATTAGATGTAAAATATGACGAAGTTTTTTTCCAAACTTCTATTCACAAACAGAAAGATGTAATTATCATCACCTCCAAAGTAAAACACTACTACACTTGACAGTCACATCAATGAATTACACCTGTTTTTTATTAAAAACATATGACGATGGTAACGGCGAGCGGCTTAAGAAATGAATAAAAAATTAGTTCCTTTCCATTCAAAAAGTTGGGGAGAGAGAAATCTAAATACAAGATTGAGTATTTTGAACACTTAAAATGTCAACATTGCGTCTACTATCAAGCAGATGACGGACAATAGAACTATTTTGGTCACAATTTTTGTGAAATATGCTACGAGATGTGAATAAGAACGTTCTTTTAGGTCCTATTAATGTGAGTATTATGACCCGAATATGTAAACTGATAGCAGACAAAATGTTAGTATTAGAAAAGCGTTCAAAACAATCAACACTCAAGCAGCTTTGAAGTTACTACGTTATGTCGGTCATTGCTGTGTCTGGAAAAACTTCAGCAGAGATTCAGAGAGCTCAATTGGCTTTTACCAACTTGCATTACGTGTGGCACAAGCGCGATATCCATCTGCCAACCAATGGGCGAGTTTACTGCACAACAGTCTACTCCGTCCTACTTTATAGGTGTGCAACATGACCAATAAGAACAGAAGATATTTGTAGGTTACTAGTATTTGGTCATTGTTGTCTTCGAAGTACTGCTCATGTATTTTGGGATCACCGAGTAAACAACCCCGGTGTTAGGAATAGGGTACTGGGTAAGGATGGAAAGTCGATTAAAGAGGTGGCGAATCCTCACCGACTGAGGTGGGTGGGACATGAGTTACGTATCCCCAATCACCGCCTATTTCGACAGGTGATGTTCTTTGATGTAGGGATAGGCTGGAAGAAAGCTAGGGACGGCTAAACCAAAACATGGCATTAGTCCATGAAGACATTGACAATAAGACTGAGTTATGCTAACAGGTGCAGACTACCTGGTTGAGGGCCCCCAAATGCCCTGAAACGGCCGAGAGTGGAGAGAGTCTACTCTTCCTCTCGAAATGCTCTCACATGGCCAGCGAATATATAGCCTCTGCCAGGGAAGTCCTACTCACTGCCTTCTCGTGGCGGGGGTGTTGTTTACGAAAGTGAGAGGACGAAAAGCGAATGTCCGGCGCTATAACCGGATTGGTGGACACGGAGGGTCCACCTAGGGGAGTTGGAAAACCCTGATTCCAAACCAATGGTGCACATGGGCTGGCTCCAGTATCCTGATGGAACGAATGGCGGAAGAACCTGTCATTGGTCAACGGCAACCATGGGACTGCATCTCCTCACGATGCTCCACTGCCTTGTGGATCAGACCTTTCGGTCAAAGGCTCGGGGTGTGGTCCCCTAAGAAAACCCCCTGCTTCGGTTTGGGCACCCGGGCAGTATCACAGCCCGCACACAAATGAATGAAATTATGAACTCTATTGACGATAATATCCCTGGTCATACTAAAAGCAAGACAATTAACATTATTATTATTATTATTATTATTATTATTATTATTATTATTATTATTATTACTACTACTTACCATATCGCTAATTCACCCCCTTTTATCCCCAATTTGTGTAACCTTACTCTTCAACTTATGCAGCAGCTCGCCCATGGTGGAAAATCTGTCCTATCTAAACGATCTCCAGTCACTGTCTGGTTGAAAGTGAATGCTTCCACCGATTATAAATACTGAGGCAGTCTTTCTGAAACCACGTACGCCGTTCAAGCTGGCTTCCCTCAACGTTCGCACACTAATGCATATCAGACAACAGATAGGGCTGGCTATGTCTTTGGAAGGTCTTAGTGTTGATGTTTGTTGTCTATCCGAGACCCGTATTCAAGACTCTAGTGAAGTACTACAAATCCGCTCTCCATCTGTCGCCTCGAAGAGCTTGTTCCACGTGCGCTTATCCGGGGACCCTGTGGCATCTTCGTCTGGTCTTGCTGGCGTTGGTGTCGCACTAAGCGCTGGAGCTGAGGCAGCACTAATCGATTGGATCCCCATTAACAGTCGGTTATGTGCTGTTAGATTAGAAAGTTCCATCAAAGTGAGAAGAAATCGGCGTGAGAAACGGTGTCTTTTCGTCATCTCCGCCTATGCCCCGACAGATTGCAGCCCGGATGCAATCAAGGATGAGTTTTACCATCAGTTAACAGTTCTTCTCCAGAAAGCGCGTTCGACAGATATTGTAGTACTAGCCGGAGACTTGAATGCACAGGTCGGGCGTCTAGGCACAGAAGAGAGTCGTCTAGGTGGCCGATGGGGACTTGTTGGTCGCCGGACAGATAACGGGGACCGTTTGCTGCAACTGTGCACAGACCACAACCTGTTTCTGGCCAGCACTAACTTCCGGCACAGTCATCGCCGGTGTGCCACCTGGCGTCCTCCCGCTGCATCCCAAGCCTGGACTCAGATTGATCACATCGCGATCAGCTACCGCTGGCGTGGTTGTGTACAAGACTGCCGCTCCTTTTGGAGTACCTATCTGGAGTCTGATCATGCCCTGGTCTGCGCCAATCTCACCTTACTTTTCAGTGGCCGAAGGATTGACCACCACCAACGGATTGATGTTAGCAAACTGGCTGCAACTTCTGTTGCAAGTAAGTATCGAGCGGAGCTAGCCTCTAGGCTAGCTACCACCCCACCGAAAAGTATAGATGAGCATTGGTTGCATCTTCACGACGCCATGAAAATGGCGAGTAAAGCCGCTTGCGGCTTCGCGAAACGTCCCGCTTACAAGCACTGGGTTTCTTCTGGCTCCTCACAACTGATGGAAGCCCGTCGGTCTACTCCGGGTGACCGTGAGTTTGACCACAAACGAAGGCTGTTACGTAATGAAATCGGGCAAAGCTTGCATAAGGACCGGGAAGCCTGGTGGTCGAAGCGTGCTAATGAGATGGAAGCAGCAGCTGCATCTGGTAACTGCCGGAAGCTCTTCCAACTCATCTGAGCCACTGGCAGCAAGAAGTCTGGTGTGAGTGAAACAATCTACGAGGATGATGGGATGCCAATCACTAACATCTGTCGACGTCTTGGACGATGAGCAGAATTCTTTGAAGGGCAGTTCAACTGGCCTGCTGCTCCGGCAACATCAACCAGCTTGTCCTGCCCCCCATGGCCGGTGACGACTGATCCACCAAACGAGGCGGAAGTCCTCAAGGAACTCCAACTCTTGAAACGTTATAAATCACCTGGCCCAGATGACTTACCTCCGGCTCTTTTTAAAGATGGTGGTGACTTTCTGGCTAAGGAACTGACTGCGTTGTTTGTAATGGTTTGGGAGCAAGAAAGTGTTCCAACATCTTGGAATGAGTCAATAGTCGTCCCTATCTTTAAAAAGGGTTCACGTTGTTCCTGCAATAACTATCGGGGGATAAGTCTGCTTTCGATTGCGTCCAAACTATTGGCTTCTATCATTCTTCGTAGGTTGTTTAAAACCCGAGAACGATTGACTCGCGAGGAGCAGGCTGGTTTTTGTTCTGGTCGAGGATGCATTGATCACATCTTCACCCTCCGCCAAATGTTAGAACACCGTCATACTTATCGCAGGCCAACAATCGTAGTGTTTCTTGATATCAGGGCTGCCTTCGATTCGTTGGACAGGACTGTTCTCTGGGATTGTCTATTGAAGAAGGGTGTGTCTAAGAAGTTCATTAACATCTTAAAGGCCCTGTATACGAACACCTCAGGCAGAGTGAGGGCATACAACCACCTTTCTCCCTTGTTCCATTCGAGCAGTGGGGTTAGACAAAGTTGCCCGATCTCACCATTCCTCTTCAACTTTGCCATCGACGACATCCTGGAAACAGCTCTGATGGATGTAAGTAATGGCGGTGTGGATATGTTGCCTGGAGAACGACTTCTCGACCTTGAGTATGCGGATGATATTGTCTTACTGTGCGATAATGCCCAAGGCATGCAATCAGCACTTAATCAGTTGGCAATCAGTGTCCGCAGGTACGGCATGTGCTTTGCACCCTCCAAGTGCAAAGTACTCCTACAAGACTGACAGGATTCTCATCCTGCACTCACCCTGGATGGTGAGCAGATTGAAGTAGTTGAGAAGTTCGTGTATCTAGGCAGCTATATAAGTGCTGGTGGTGGAGTGAGTGATGAGATTGATGCACGTATAATGAAAGCCAGAGCGGCTTATGTTAATCTGGGCCATCTTTGGCGCCTTCGTGATGTTAGTCTGGCTGTAAAAAGTCGGATCTACAACGCGTCGGTGAGAGCAGTTTTGCTCTATGCTTGTGAAACCTGGCCTCTCCGAGTTGAGGATGTTAGACGTCTCTCTGTGTTTGATCATCGTTGTCTCCGAAGGATTGCTGACATCCAGTGGCAACACCATGTTAGTAATGCAGAGGTTCGGCATCGTGTGTTCGGGCGCAGAGACGATAATTCAATTGGTGTCATCATCTTGAAACACCGACTTCGGTGGCTTGGACATGTTTTACGAATGTCGTCCCAGAGACTTCCACGTCGTGCATTATTTGCCGACTCTGGGACTGGTTGGAAAAAGTGGAGAGGAGGTCAGTGTATGACATGGCGTCGTGGCATGAAAGAAAGCTGCAAAGGGCTAGCTTCTGTTGGTCCTTCACGACTCCCTGGTTGGGGTCCGAGAGATAGTGCAACACAGTGGCTAGAGACGTTATCAGATATGGCTCAGAATAGAAGACAGTGGCGATCCTGCTGCAACCTTCTTTTACTTTCTACATAAAGAATGGTTCCAACTTTCCCAACTGAAAGAGTCTTCTGGTTGTACATTTCAGCCCGCCTTATCTTTTCATCCCTTCTCTTCCTACTTTCATTATTTTGTGTGGCGCATATGTACCTGGTGCCCTTTTGTACCAATATATATGTGTTTAAATAAATAATAAATAAATAACCTGGTTGAGGTCCGCGTGATAATTGTAACCAGTCATTGGAAACTTCGAATGACATGGCTCAAAGTCGTTCTCAATGGCGCAGGTGCATTTATTTTATCTTCCCTAACTTCTGAGATTCTAAATTCCTCATAACTCTTTTTGTTTTTAATCCACTAGTTTATATTCTCTTGAATCGTATCTTCGGTGTCTAATCTTTTCTATTACCACTAGTATTGTTACTACATCTACTATTCTAGGATTTGGCCTGACAATCTCATCTCTCTGTGCTAATAGGGTATGGCAACTTGAACCTATGTACATACATACCAGACTTCGCTTTGTGAGTGACTGACTGACACTGATGTTAAATACAAGGTGTCTATAAGTCGTTACATAATGGTTAGTGCAAAAAGTATAAAAGAATCTGAAAAACTCACTAAGCACTAACTAGTTACTGTATAATTAACTGGGCATTTAATTCTACAACGGATATCCCTGATACTTACTGAAAATGCTTGACACTGATGATGCGCGCAAAATCAGGACTTTTTTGAGGATCATCGCCCAAAAACTGTTTTACGATTTCTTCAATCCTTTCTTTTAAAACAGGCTAAAGGAAAAATTAGAAAGACCAAACCAATTACTTGACTAACAATTCATTATAAGTTTCAGCAGTCATAAAAACACAATGCTTCGTATGGAAACATGGCTTCGATCTCGTTTCAGCTTAACTGAAATCAGTATTCCATGTTGAGACTAACTTGCAATCCGTCTCAAACAAATATACGAATAACCAGACAAACTGAACTCCAATAATTTGATACAATACAAGGATATTCATTAAACAGTTGGAAACATTTTAAAACTGAACATGCTAGAAACTACCAAACCATATAAGTAATTGGAAGTAATCAACAGCGTAAAAATATGAACGACTATTAAGATATAATTAATCAACTCAGTTACGATAAATAAGTAAACGTTGTACAAAAACACGACACCTAACAATATAAGGCCTTGAATATGAACAGAACTGAAAAGGGAAACGATTACTCATTATATTTGTTTACAGTAAGAAATATTATGTATAATACCTAGTAGACAATCGACAATATCGATGGGATGTAATCATCTTTTTGAAAAGCTATGAATTGATTTGTTATGTGTATCAATGATAAAATATCTAGTGGTTCATCACCACCCAAAGTGAGACGTTTTGCTGACCAAATAGGCTATTATCAAGAGGTGCATTAGATTTCGTAGTACAGATGCAACCAAGGATATTAGAACGTAGGTTTATCTATCGTGATGTTAATAAACGGTTGAAGTTACAACGCACCGGTCCTAAAACTAACACTGACAATGGGGATTTTAAAGTCTTACGACATACCAAATCATAATTGATTTTTGGAGTACATAAGAAACCAACAACTAACATAACAAATTTATAAATCTGGAACGTCAAGTAACAAATCTAAACGAATTACAGTTTGGAGAAAATGTCTGATTTATGAGTCATATTCCGTCTCGCGTAACCCTTCGTATATAATCTGTAATTGCCATTATACTAGTAATAAAAAAATAGTATTTTACATCCAGTATACCTACCAAGTTAATTTTTTTCTTTTCAGTTTATTTCGTTCAGAACTGTTGTATCCCGAAGAGAATTATGAATGGTAACTTTTGAGGACTAATTATTGGCCAATATAATATGTATATTTCCTATTGTAATTAACCTAATCATATTCGTTTCCTCTTATCACTAACTTTATTTTGACCTTTGGACTATTATTATACGATCCTTGAGTTATCATCAGTTTATTGATTACTATTCACAGCCACATTCGGCTAAATATTGTACAAATGTTATTATCTATTTTATGGGTCGATATGGTCTGGTTGGTATACAAACTCAGTATGTTTGAAATACAATGATTCATACTACTGAGGCTGTTATTGGTGTTTTGGACTTAACTGGCTGGGCTAGGTAGATCGCAGGATCAGTTAGCGCACTAGACTGCTCGTACGGTTTCGTGCCACTGTTCCAATCGATAATTCGCTGCTCCCTGTTTGGCGGTCTTATCAAGACACACATTAACTAGGCATCCACTCGGCCACAAGATATAACAAGAACAAAAATAGAGTATATAATTCTTTGTTGCTGAGGTAAATGTATCAGCATCTTATCTTACGAAGTAACCCAAATCATATTCACTTTTCAGTATATTTCACCCAAGCCACTATGACCACACACTGTTCCTATTGAGATTTCAATTTGTCCTTTAATCATATCAATCTCATTTTTTAGTTATTTGATTATCTCTCTCCATAAACATTTACCCACTATTTTAACAAGAATCCGGGAACTTACTAAATATTTAATCTGATTTATACCGTTCATATTTTACAATATCAATATTTGCGTACATCTTCATTCAAACTGGCGGCAAACATTCTAAGTAAAATTTAAATCGAGCTAAAAACTGGATTTCGCAGCATCATAGAGGATTGGAATGACAATGGAAGTTTAGCTTACGGACTGACAAGTTCTCAGAACCACGCACTATCATTTTTCTAAGTGCTCACTTAAAATAATATAACAGCGCCAAATTAAATAATCATATAATTTTAATACAATACACCAACTAACTAGTATTTGTTCGTGACATAATAAGTAATCGGCAGCAACACATATTTGTCCACAATTCAGAAGTTTGCTGTAAATAATACGCTTGACAGCTACATCCAAACTGACATCCGAATCAATATACACAGGACTAATAGTAAAAAAGAGAAGTTTTTGGGACAACTTGATAGAAGAATTACGATACTGGCTTGGTAATAAATATAGAAATTTAGGGTATAAAACGCTCGAATAAACTATCAAATAACCCATTATGGATCCAGTCGTTAACATAGAACAATACTACGTAGTTTATATAGATAATATGGGAAAAGTTCCAAATGCTTAGAATGATTAATCGAATGAGTTAGGCAGCAATATAACAACCATTACAAATTATTTTAGGCTGCTCTTTATGTGGATCACTGGGTAGAATGTAGAAGTTACAGATCATGGAACTTTAAACTCATCAGAAGTGTTTAAATACACCAACTCTATGTTATAAAGTACCGTATTATTGATTTCAGAAGCGGATTTTAAACTACTAAAATGAAAGGAAAGAATGCTGATCGATAGACGATATGTAATTGTACGAAGTGGTCGGATGATGGCTGATAACTGGACGGAATTATAAACGCAAGCTACCGACTGATTTGATATCAAAGACAAGACTGCTTCCCAGAAGAACAGATTTATTACGTAAAAAAAAACACTGGATCCTTTAAACAGCTGGACAAAACAATTTTGTAGGTAGTTCGTTCCACAATAAATTAAGACTATACCACACACTTCATATAATACAACACTGGACCGGATGCTGAGATCTGTGGGATTTCATCATATTAATATTTATCTGTGTTAGTAGTCGTTTATTTCAAAAATTAATAAGTCGGTGAACAAGAGATTCTCAAGTGCTTTTAAAAATAAGATCGGTTTTCACTTCCAGTTACTCCCAATGAAAATGGTCTAAATTAATCACTAATTCGACGGTCCCAAAAAATAAAACCGTTCCCATTAGTACCGTCCTAAACATTATTAGTGGTCTCAACAGTAAGTTGAAACAAAACTTCTTTCAAGAGTACATGACCAGCTTTGTTATGCATTATCTAAAAAGCGTATATGAATAAAAGAATCCACAAAATCGATTCTCAACCCTCTAATTTGAGCGATTCCTTAGAAAGTTAAGTTCACATCTTGGTATTATTCATAAGTGTGATAATGTCACCAGTCCAATAACAGCAGATACCACCAGTGTTTTGTCGTTTTATCGAAGTTATCAATTTTTTTCGCCACTCTACGCATAGAAATGAAGTCCATCACAATGACGATTTGACCAAATTAAAGTAATTACTTATAAATACTTATGTCTTTTGTCTTGAATTCCCTTCTTGGTGTGCATTTAGAATTTCTTCACGGTTTAACTGTAGATGACATCACAACCAAACTGCACTTCTCAATTTAAACCTATACGAATGCAGTGGAGGCATGGAGGTATTTTCTAGAAATGTTGTGACCAGTTTTCTAGTAAGATTTGCGGACTTATGAAAGTAGATTACTTCCACCTGAGAACCGATAAGCTTAAGATAATTGAAACTTTATCAGTAAGTCAGATTGCTAAGTGTGACAGTTTTTGGAGTGAGTTTTTGGCAGGAAGGTTGAAGCTGCAGGGTGGAAGCGACTGCATGTTTTGTTGAGTAGTAGCTAGTTGTTGATTGGAACTTAAACTCGACGGATTGTGTTTACTGGATATAATTGTAACTCTTAGTCAATGTGTACATAAAGGATCCTTAAATTGAGACTTTTTCTTCCTACTTGTCCGTATGCCTCGTAAGGAAAACCGCTACACTAAGTAATACTTATTTCATTTCTCATTGTTTTTTAATGGATTACATTTTACATTAACCTAAAACAAACTCTTGGTTTATAGAACCTATTAATTATTTCTTAAGGGTAATTGAGGTTTACGGTAGTAAATTGGAAGAAAGTTTACTGGTTAAAATTTTTTAAACACTGAGTCACTACTTTAACTCCTTTTGTTTCAGCAACCGGGTAATATCACCAACCATCATTTATAGTTCCCTATTGTTCTACAATTTGTATTGAAAGCAAAAAATAACTAGCTGTTACATAAAGTGACCTAAAACCGCAGAAAACTATCGAGTTACTACTTAATTACATGGAATGAATTGAAACAGCCATAAACAACACTTCATATGCTTTTTGATAGTAAAATGCATTTTATAACCGACTAATTTGAAATCAACAGCGAAATTCGTTTAGAAAATATATAGAAATAAATCAAGCAGAAGTATGATATCTTACCATTTCCCTCCAAGTTCCAAAACAACAGGAGTAAGTTGTTTCGCAGCGGCAACATAAACTTCGCGACCAATGGTTGTACCACCCGTGTAAAATATAAGGTCAAAACGCTGAGTTTCCAGAATTGTCTTAGATACACTAGGGCCTCCACAAATGACTTGACATATGTGCTTTAAAAAATGTCTTTTTTAGTAAATATGAACAATAGCCAAGATCAATCTCATAAAAATAATACAGCCATAACTATAGCTACTTTTAAGCGTTTTTTTGTGATAGTTACATACTATTTCAAGACATTCTGGCTATTACTTAGAGATTAGTGCGTAACTTAGAGCCGGAAAACGATCCTATGTAAATGAATAAAACTAACTGATCACCTTCACTAGCTCCCAGTTTAATTGTAGCCTCCGAATACTCTGGTACGGTTGAGGGTGAGGAGAGTCCGCTCTCCATCTCGAAATGCCCTCAAATGACCACACGCATACAGCCATTGCCATGGAAGTCCTACTTACTGCCTTTTTGTGACGATGGTGTTGTTTACGAAATTCACAGGACGAAAAGCGAATGCCCGGCGCTTTAATCGGGTTGGTGGATATGGAGAGTCCACCTAGGGAAGTTGGAATACGTTGATTCCAAACCAATGGTGCACACGGGCTCCAGGATCTTAAAAGAACAAATGGTGTGTGTACCCATTGTTGGTCACCGGCTATCATGGGACTGCATCTCCTAATGTCGCCCCACTGCAATGTGGATTAAACTGATATGTAGAAGGCTTGGGGAGTGGTCCCCTAAGGAAACCATCTGCTTTGGTTTGGGCTCTAGTGAAGTATCCCAACCCTCGTACAAATCAAATGATGTGTGTTGCACATAATATTTGAGCCTCCTTGTGCCAATTTCTATAAACTTCTAGTTTATTGGCTATAGAGTTAGTTAGTTTCTCAAAACGTACCAGTAGGTTCCGGTAGATGAGTTGGAGTAAGAAAAGCGTCTCCAAGTCCATCTCACGACAATGAAACCTTGTGATAACAAACAACAGTTGGAATGCAAACGCCCGAATTCATCCTATTTAAACGAGTTGCTTTGTTTAAATGCCACTTTAGTCAAGCAACTAATCGAACTGTTCGGAAGTAATCACAAGTTTGGGTATTCTCAAGTCCAGTTTACATTGTACTCGTTCCGAAAAGGAATTTCGAAAAATACGGAAATTTGCAAATTTCTGTTTTGCTGTCAGTTACTATTAAGATACTAACTATTATTAAATAACTTTCACAAAACAGGAAAAACTGACGTTCTTAAGATATGCTTTCGTTGTGGATATAGGGACTACGATTTGATTACTATAACCTACAAGAGCTACCAAAGGCACTACAGACTAAGAATATTACTTGAGGGATCTTTATATTGACTCCTGAAAAACTTGTTGACATTTATTGAGTCGTAGAAACAATATCAGGTAACGGTGACATAGAAATGTAACCACTATAAACTGGGAACGATGTTGAATAGAGTTACCAGGTTTATTTTTTCTATTCAACCTCACCACTGAAAGCATTCTGTCTACAGGACGTTAGATGAATATTTCAAAGGTCCAGTCTCGCTTTACAATTGATGCTTTAAAAAAATGGGGAGCATATACGTAACACCAGTTTCAGCCACCCAAACTAAACCGTAATAAATCAGAAATTTGCAACGTTATTAGACATAACTTGGAATAATCTCGATGGAAATCATACAATAGTTCTTACGTCAGTCAGTCACAACGTAGAACTTCGTACGTACGTACATCAGTTCGAGTTGCCATACCACATTAGCACAGAGATGCAGTTGTCGATTCAAATCCCATAGTGGTAGAGGTGGTAAGAGTATAGGCATTATGTGAAAGATTAGGGTTTAAAGATAATATTAAAGGAGTATAATACAGTGAAATAAATTTGGAAAGAGAAAAAAGATAGAGACATGGAAAATTCAGAAGATTAGAATTTGGTAGAACACAAAGAGTGGATGCACCTTCGCCATTGCAAACGATTTTCAGCCATGTCATTCAAGGTCTCTAACCATCGAATGCTATCATCTCGCGCATTCCAACCAGGTAGTCTACACCTACCAACATGGCTCAGTCCACTTGTCAGTGACTTCATGGATTTGTGCCATGTTTTGGTCTGGCCGTCCCTAGCTTTCTTCCAACCTACTCCTACACCATAAAACTTCGCTCGTCGGGGCAGTCGGTGGTTGGGCATACGTAACACGTGTCCCAGTCATTTCAACTGATGAAGTTTCACTACTCCATCAATCGATTTTCCATCCTTAACTAGTACCCGTTTCTTAACAACTACATTACTTACTCGGTGGTCCCGGGATATACGAGCAATGCTTCGAAGACACCTATGATCGAATACTAGCAGCCTACGAATATCCTCTACTCTTATCGGCCATGTTTCACTGTCATAACGTAGGACGGAACGAACTGATTTCTCTGTGATTGTCACAAGAGGACTTTCGTCCTTTCTTATAGACTGGCACAGTCAGTGATGGGGACCAGTCAGATGGAATTACGTCCAGTTCCCAGATTCTACCTAAGACCTCAGTCAATCTCGCTGCTAGTACTGGACCACCATCCTTAAAAATATCAGGAGTAAACCTGTCAGGGCCTGCTGCTCTCCTTCGTTTCAGATTTCCTATAGCTTTTTCAACCTCGTAGAGATTCGGAGGACTTACATCAATTTGCCATTCAGGACGACTGGAGATCGTGGGTAACTGAAGTGTGGCTGAAAGCCAGTTGAACTGATCCTTAAAGTGTTCTGCCCATCGATCCAATCTCCTGGATTGAAAGTGAATGATATGTCCATCTTTATCTGAGATGGTTTCACTGATACTTGGGTTCCTAATACCGGTATCTTTAACAAGTCTGTTGTTACCTATTACCGCTGCCTTTTCCATCTCTCTTGCTCTCGCTACTCACCACTGTTCACAATCAATGAGCAGTGAAGACTTATATGGCTTATACTTATGGACTTGGCACCCAGTCAATCGTCAGTCATGGACAATGAGTGATTAGACACAAATTTGCACCCAATAGTGAAAATTCGCATACCTTATTTTTACTAAGTTTGTATCAGTTTAAAGTGACACACGTTGCGCCCTCCATATTTTCTAGGAACCAAAATTTTTCATTTTAAAAAGTCAAGTTAAGGGAAAAAACTAAGTGCAGGATAATTCCTGTTTTCTTCAGTCGATGAAAATCATTAATTTGATCAGTTACTTACTTTATCTAAATACTTAGCGATAAGCTCAGAAATCAGCTGAGAACATGCCGGAGTCATTTCTGACGGCTTAAGAAGAACACTATTCCCAGCAGCGATTGCACCGATTAGAGGCTGAAAGGATAAAATGAAGGGGAAGTTCCAAGGACTCATTATTAAAACCACACCGTATGGCTGCTTTTGAATAGTTACTGTATCCATTAAAGTGATGAATGACGACGGGACCTGGATAATTAATTACCCCCATAATATTTGATACATTACCGACTCCTCCCTCAACCATGAATCAATATTAGAAAGCATCATTTGTGCTTCGCCTACTGAAGTGTCTATATCTGTAAAAATAGCTTCAGTTCGACACTATTTAATGATACTATATAAAAGTCTTTTACCCTGCGAAGATCTGCCTCTAGTGCTTCGACAATTTTTTCCTCGTTTTCCAAGAACAATTTAAGAATATTTCGGATGGCACGTTTACGTGAGTCTAAGGTGTTCAAAACGCCTTCAGTGACCCCTTTGCGTAAAACAGATGTGATCTGTATAGTTAGAAATTAACAAATTTACAACAAACCTTTTCGATATCTTCCGACATTTTATTAGATAACAGGAATAGCTAGGCGTGATATACTTAGAAGTCTGTCTTGATTGACTCCAGTACAGTATGGACGGTTGTTGGGGATAAATAACGATCGAAGGTGGCTTGGATTTGAAATTGCCTCTTCTTTGTTTCCGCGACCCTGAGCGGCTTTCCAAAGGCGGTCATTTCATATTTGTCTTTAGCATTCATATTTGGAGAGCCGCAGGTCGGTGGTGTGTTTGTAGGCTATCTGGATATAGCAGTATATCTACCTATAGAAGACTTGCATACTTTAGAAGACGCCAAATAACATATAGTTATCAACATCTTATGCTTTGTCCACAGTTCAGCTAAAGAAAATCTCTGTGTTACAACTTTTTAACTGTCAATTTATAGCTAACAATGTGTAAATTTACATATTTCATTATTTCATGACATTTCTTATTTTCTCTACACTTGTTTGATAATCACACTGAGCGTTGTGACCGACCTAACCTATATTACTCGGGAGACAACCCTGTAGCGGTGAATAAATCCCCAAAATAAATAGCTCTCTAAGTCTTCGATGTTTGATGCTAACAGCATTAGTTGAACTCGCCTGGCTGAATGCATTGGTTATGCATCCGTATCAGATCATGAGTGGGTACCTCGTACTTCACGTCTCCTACAACCGATGGCCAGCTTACATTGACCACTCCTCAACATATCGATAGTCTATCAAATATATCTTCGAACCCCTTCGCTTCTGACTTTTGGTTTGATTGGGTTGGTACATTTCAATTATAAGAGATGTTACTGGTTAAGGCGCTATCAAATTTCAAATACTTATGGCATTTTTACGTGGTTGTCAAGTAATGACAATACCTTATGGCGATGTTTAGAAGACATTATATATGTAAATAGTTATAGCGTTGTTTGAGGATTAACCGGTGGGAAATAGGTATTGTTGTTTAAGGTTATACTAAAATATCAGGGTTTGCGGCGTGAACGAATCCGAACTGCTTGATTTTAGTGCACATTGTCATCCAGAGATATCTGTTCGCTTAGTGCTCGGTGTAACAGTAGGCTCCCGAGTTTTTATTCTGAACGCTAGCTTGATTAAAAACCACATGATAATTTAGTTATCATACCAGTATATTACGATAATATCTTAATGAGATGACTTAATATCTCGATTATGTTAAGCGTCTTTTTAGACTTAAATGCGCACACCAATAACGACTATAATGGAATTATTGGAAATTGTCCATGAAGGTCCGAATAATTATTATATTCGAATAGCATAGAGATTATTTAATTCAGCCCATGTTCAAGCCAGGCTAATGTGTATATTGATGAAGAATATAACAATTTAAAAATACTTGGCCAAATAATATTTTAAATGTTGAGACATGATTTGTGGAATTATAGTTAAGGATAAGATGGTTTATAATATGGAGGTTGTCGTAGCTAGCCTAGTAAGTTCTTGATTATTTACCAATGATGGTTAGAACAAGGAAGTGTCAGATTACTGTTGAATCTAATATGGTTTTCCGGAAAACGACACACCCATAGTAGTATATCATTTAAAGTCATGGAATACATCTTATACCGAAAACGTTTTCGGGGGTTGTTAATATTGAATGTATATATATCGATCGTGAACGTGAGAAAATATATTTGTTAAGAAATACTAGAAACATAGCAAATCATCCAGCGAAATAGTAAAACCCATCTGGGTTACTTTCAAAAATACGATTATTTTGTTTGGCAGTGATACCCAAAAACTGGAAATTAGACAGTTGGTAGTCGAAGAAATGCTAAAGAGCAGTCAGTGGTTTAAAATAGCTTAAAATAGAAAGTGAAGAATCAAATGGAGAAGTGGATTGAAATAACCATCAAGTCCTTGCTTACAGTAATTGCCAGCCTATTTAACTTTATATTGATTGAGCATCATATTTGCTATAGGTTAATGCTTTGATAGACCTATTTCACTGAAGCATGTAAAGCCTAAGGAAGCTTTTTAGTGAACCATAAAAGCTAAACATAAATATAGATGAACAGTTAATATTATCGATCAAGCCATTAAGTTATGAGAAATGATCAGTATTATAATAAAATACACTTGAGCATCTATTACTTCTGAAGAATATGTTTAGGTTGGGAGAAAAATAGTATATTCGATACAAAAAGCAAGAGGTTGTGTAGCGTGACCACGCCTACATGTCCGAGTCAAGCCCTTTGAATTTGTTCTCCGTTTAACCATCACCGGCCTTCATGTGTTGAATTTTCAGTGTGTCTTCTCAGCCATCTTATAATCAGTCTCGAGGATCGTGTGATTAGAGCCAATGCCACTTAATTCTCACCATGTTCAATAACGAGGCTCACACCCCTACCATAAATTAAAAAGTATATAAGACAGTAATGTCGGAAAGCCAGACGTTTTGCGATTCAGCCCTACTTAAACCCAGGGACGAGTGTGAAGAGTAGCGTAACAAGAAGTCTGTTGGACGTCGGAAACGCACATATTGGTACGAGCAGGTGATCGGGAACTCAAGCTACATGGAGATGATAGTACTATGTCATCAGTAAAATATTATTACTCCAAAGCTCAGGTGCTCTAGGAACTTTTTAGCAATATGTACACCGAAGAGACACCCTTTTCTCAGGTCAGAGCAGATACCCTCATACCTACTGGACACTTCGTTTATTAGGGTGGTTCATGTCTTTGGACTGCTACACCAACTGGATGTTCAAATACCTACGTTGATCGACTAAATGTGGACGAGGCAACTAAAAGAAATCTCAGATATTATCACACATTCTCTAAGCATGTTTTAATTTTCTACTAATAAGTTAAAGTAGACTACGAAGCGGCTGGAAGAACATTATAGTTAGCTATGGCTTAAAACCAGGTACCAGACATAAACTTGAGAATAATTGTCTCGTAAGCTTAACTGGGGGAGCTGTTAGAATTCTCGAAAAGGTTATGTATATAGACGAAGACCTGATTTTTTTAAAGAGCAACACGGTTTAAAAAAAGGTTATTTGAGTTTCAAAAACGTATCGGTAGTTCCCGAGATCTGGAGTAATCTGGAAAACCGAAAGCTACTTCTCAATGTAGCTTTATTTATCTCGCGTAAGACTTTGATTAATTCATACAAAACAGAGTATCATCTAAGTTACGTGACATTGCGATAAGTGGTAACTAATGTTAATGAATAAGTGATTTTCTAATTGGATGTCAACAAAGAGCACAGATCAACTTCAAGCAATACGGCCAGAAAAATATGTGACACATTATAATTCGAGGACCACTGTTATTACACCGACACGCAAATGAACTTTCTAGTCTCGTATGATCGTTGGTATTGTTATATTTTGACTGTGTCAAGACATGGAGAGCAATAAGAAATGAAAATTATAGTCTAGCGCTTGAGAACAACACACAGAAGTAACTGAGGTGGTCTACATATTGTTAGAAGTCGATAGGTGCTTTGAATCGCAATATGACCACCAATATTAACCACCTGGGTCCAGATAGATACACAGAAAAGAGTATGCTGCGCTGATGTGCAAACTGTCAGTCATGACTTGCGAACCCCTTAAAATTTCAATGCAATAGATATTAAAAGTTTTAGAATCCTAAGTTAAATACATAATGTCCATAATCAAGCACATTTGGAGACGTTCCTGAAATTGTGATTAATGTTTGTTCAGCCTTAACTTCAATATTATATGCAAGCACCCAAACGCTTCCTACAAAAAGAAAGTGTGTTGTTAGAAAGGTAAAAGAATGCATAACAGATCTCTGTTATGAAACGCCCCGTGACTTGTTCCAACCATGAGCACAAATTATTCTAATCTTCCCATTTATCCTCTCACCCATATATTTACCTCCGCCACTTTGGTTTATCCTCCAGGATGTTTTGAAGGTTTTTTTACACCAGTACTTGTTTGATTGTATACTTACGTGTGTTTCTTCCATGTTTATAAGGAATGAATCCCTAACTGATCACTGATTTAGTTATTTCACATACATTTTTCCATCTTTGATCGTTTGAGTTGCCGAATATCTAAAATATACGTTCCTCAAACACTTTTGTATTCGACTTTTTACATCTACGTTAATACTAAACGGTTTTGTCGACAAAAGCACGAAGTAAATAGAGCATACGGCAGGCACCAAAAACCCCAACTGTGGATTGGTTGAAGTTAGACACTAATACCGTTGGATGCTGGCTCAGTGATCTAGAGGTTAAGCATTCGCTCGCTAGACCGATAGGTCCTGTGCTCGAATATCGCTGAGCGGGGTCGTGGATGCTCATTTCCGGGGAATCCCATTCTAGGACGAAACTGCCGGCCAGTGCTTTTAGGTTTTCATGGTGATTTAGCTTTAACTGACTCATGAATTCAACTATTAAACCACAACTGTATTGAAACTTAGAGTAATGGGACAGCGGTGAATAGTGAGGTTGTCTAAACTAAGCCTGTTTCACCTGTCATATATAGGTACAACAAGTGACTTGATCACAGTTTTTATATCTCCTAGTAATAACTTATTAAGAACATGTCCCATTTTTTTATTTTCCAGAGCAGGGGATTAGTGACGTGATGCTGAAAGGCTGATAAGCCCTGAACTGATTACAAATTAGCTGACTGCTGATTCTCACACCAAGTCGCCAGAAATTGGAACTCTAGTGCAACACACTGTAGCTGTAAATAATTCCCCAAAATCAATGGCTTTTTAAGTGTTCGACATTGGAAGCTGACCACATTTCACTTGCCGATTGAGAGGACCCTATTGTCATGAACATAGTCCATACAGTTTCCTGTCCTCCCAAAACCGCAACCAAGACTGGGACTGAGAGCAATCAATTGTTGCCTACTTAACATATCTAAACTTAAATCCTAAATTATGACAAGAGGTAGGTGACTTCAAAAGTATGGTATGCACTCCAGGATATTGACGTATGACTAAACACGGTGACGCTGGGAGGCACAAGCTATGATTATATTACAAACCTGTTCATGTGAGAACTAATGTAGCGAGAACGAGGTGTAGTTTAAGCTGCATGTACAGCTATTGGACAACAAACAATACAATATGGGAAATGCTAAAGAAAATCTGATACGACCTAAACAACACATCATGATCGATAAAATTATTTTACAAAATAAATGGAATTATGAGAACTCTAGGTACTGACTGAAGGAATATTTACAAATTAAGTTCACCTTAACGATATGATGACATTGAAAATCTTAGGGAACAGCTTTTAAGCAACCTACGCTACTGTGTATGTTAGTGAGATTTTCTTTTGGGGACTTGCTAAGTGCATTTATTTTAAAGTCTTTAGGGTTGCTATCGCTAGGAATTTTTCACACATTAAGTTGTATTACTGTGGTATGAGTAAGATTTCAAAACGAATTTTATTGTTTGCGGGGCCTAGTGTTGCCGTAAATCAAACTAGCTAGTATGAGGTTTTTTTGCCCCGGCCTCGTGAGAATGTGACTAGTTTTTATGTGGGAGATAAAAATTCGGTGAGCAATTATTTTTTGAAAATATCACTTGTGGTTGCACAGCAGATGGAATGGTTCAACAACTCTGTATGAGAGGTCACTGATGTGGCGTATATACTACATAATTTCTTAGGTAGGTTTATCAGGAAGATTACTGTAGGCGAACTCTGTTTCAAAACTAGAAGAATGATACATTATATTTTCCTTATAAGGTTATGAATAGAAACGTTTCCAATCATTTTTGTTTTGGGAATTTAGGTTTCTGTTCCGTCACATGGAGGATTTCATCTGTGGTTAATGGTTTGAGGTAGAACACTGTCTATTTGGTGAAGGCGCTGCCAAAACGCAGTCTTCTGACCATCATAAGCAACAATGCAGGCATGTTCGGGATGCGGTTCTTTCCCTCGAAATGCAAAATGTTACTTCAGGATTGGGTTTCATCGACACCCGAACTAATGACAGGGAGTGAAGTAGTTGAGCGTGTTGACCGCTTCACTTATCGTGGGAGTCTCATCAGCCCTTGTGGTCTGGTGTGTGACAAAATCTCAGCACGGGTACAGAAGGCTCGTCTAGCTTTCGCCAACTTGCGTCATTTATGGCGTAGGCGAGATATCCGTCTAGCAACCAAAGGACGGCTTTACTGTGCAGCAGTTTGTTCCGTCCTACTTTATGGCAGTGAAACATGGCCGATAAGAGTAGAGGATATTCGTAGGCTACTAGTATTCGATCACCGGTGTCTTCGAAGCATTAATCGTATATCCTGGGACCACCGGGTAAGTAATGCAGTTGTTAAGAAACGGGTACTAGTTAAGGATGGAAAATCGATTGATGGAGTAGTGAAACTTCATCAGTTGAAATGACTGGGACACGTGTTACGTATGCCCAAGGTTTACTCCTGATATTTTTGAGGATGGTGGTCCAGTACTAGCAGCGAGATTGACTGAGGTCTTAGGTAGAATCTGGGAACTGGACGTAATTCCATCTGACTGGTCCCCATCACTGACTGTGCCAGTCTATAAGAAAGGACAAAAGTCCTCTTGTGACAATCACAAAGAAATCAGTTCGTTCCGTCCTACGTTATGACAGTGAAACATGGCCGATAAGAGTAGAGGATATTCGTAGGCTGCTAGTATTCGATCATAAGTGTCTTCGAAGCATTGCTCGTATATCCCGGGACCACCGAGTAAGTAATGTAGTTGTTAAGAAACGGGTACTAGTTAAGGATGGAAAATCGATTGATGGAGTAGTGAAACTTCATCAGTTGAAATGACTGGGACACGTGTTACGTATGCCCAACCACCGACTGCCCCGACGAGCGAAGTTTTATGGTGTAGGAGTAGGTTGGAAGAAAGCTAGGGACGGCCAGACCAAAACATGGCACAAATCCATGAAGTCACTGACAAGTGGACTGAGCCATGTTGGTAGGTGTAGACTACCTGGTTGGAATGCGCGAGATGATAGCATTCGATGGTTAGAGACCTTGAATGACATGGCTGAAAATCGTTTGCAATGGCGAAGGTGCATCCACTCTTTGTGTTCTACCAAATTCTAATCTTCTGAATTTTCCATGTCTCTATCTTTTTTCTCTTTCCAAATTTATTTCACTGTATTATACTCCTTTAATATTATCTTTAAACCCTAATCTTTCACATAATGCCTATACTCTTACCACCTCTACCACTATGGGATTTGAATCGACAACTGCATCTCTGTGCTAATGTGGTATGGCAACTCGAACTGATGTACGTACGTACGAAGTTCTACGTTGTGACTGACTGACGTAAGAACTATTGTATGATTTCCATCGAGATTATTCCAAGTTATGTCTAATAACGTTGCAAATTTCTGATTTATTACGGTTTAGTTTGGGTGGCTGAAACTGGTGTTACGTATATGCTCCCCATTTTTTTAAAGCATCAATTGTAAAGCGAGACTGGACCTTTGAAATATTCATCTAACGTCCTGTAGACAGAATGCTTTCAGTGGTGAGGTTGAATAGAAAAAATAAACCTGGTAACTCTATTCAACATCGTTCCCAGTTTATAGTGGTTACATTTCTATGTCACCGTTACCTGATATTGTTTCTACGACTCAATAAATGTCAACAAGTTTTTCAGGAGTCAATATAAAGATCCCTCAAGTAATATTCTTAGTCTGTAGTGCCTTTGGTAGCTCTTGTAGGTTATAGTAATCAAATCGTAGTCCCTATATCCACAACGAAAGCATATCTTAAGAACGTCAGTTTTTCCTGTTTTGTGAAAGTTATTTAATAATAGTTAGTATCTTAATAGTAACTGACAGCAAAACAGAAATTTGCAAATTTCCGTATTTTTCGAAATTCCTTTTCGGAACGAGTACAATGTAAACTGGACTTGAGAATACCCAAACTTGTGATTACTTCCGAACAGTTCGATTAGTTGCTTGACTAAAGTGGCATTTAAACAAAGCAACTCGTTTAAATAGGATGAATTCGGGCGTTTGCATTCCAACTGTTGTTTGTTATCACAAGGTTTCATTGTCGTGAGATGGACTTGGAGACGCTTTTCTTACAGTAGATTTTTTGTTTATTACTGTTACTGACACTATTATTTCTATTGTCATAGCATTCAGTCAGTCAGTCAGCTACAACGTAGAACCAGGCCCATATATGCATCGATCCAAGTTGCCATACCTCATTAGCACAACAAGTTCAACACCGAATTCATACAAGTATTTAATTTAATAGTGGTAATATATAAAACAAGATTGTATATAAGGATATAGTACAGGAAGAGAGACATATATGAAGCAATTTTAATCTTATAGTTTAAGGGAAGTCGGAGAGTGTATACACCTACTCCATTGTGATCGATTCTGAACCATGTCACCCACAGTCTCCAACCACTGGTTTCGATAGTCGCGCGGACTCCAGCCAAGTAGTCTGCATATACTAACATGGCTCAGATTTATAGTTAGTGACTTCGAGGACTGACGTCACGTTTTGGCTTGGCCACTCTTTACTTTCTTCCAACCATCCCCAATACTAGTCAGCATTGCGCGTCGTGGTAATCGGTGGTTGAGCATGCGTAATACGTGGCCCAACCCTCTCGATCGATGTAGATTCACAACCTCATCAACTGATTTGTCATCATTCCCTAATACCCTGAGTCTAACGTCACTATTAATTACCCGGTGATCCCAGCAGATGCTGAAAATATTTCTAAGACATCTGTAATCAAATACTAGTAACTTACGAGAATCGTCTACTCTTAATGGCCACGTTTCGCAGCTGTGAAGTAAAACAGCACGAAGTGCTGCGCAGTATGTTCACCTGTTAATTGATAGATGGATATCTCGCCTTCTCCATAGATGATGTAAGTTGGCAAAGCCAAACGAATCCATGCAGAGATCTCATCAGACACCAACTTAATAAAACTGATCAGACTTCAAAGGTAAGTGAAGTTGTCGACGCGTTCGACTACTTCACTCCCTATCCTTAGTTCAGGTGTTGATGCAGGCCAGTTCTGGAGCAACAATTCCTATTTAGATTGGGAGAAACATCCCAAACATCCTGGCATTATTACTGAGTTCCAACAGAAGACTCTGCATTTTGTCAGCATCTTCACCAAACAGGACTATGTTATCTGCGTATTCTAAGTCAATAAGTAGACCTCCTGGTAGATCAATTCCTGAAAATTCAGTCGACGAGAATGTTACTTCCAGCGGTAGGTCTATGATGAAGTTAAACAGAAATGGTGATAGTGAACAACCTTGTCGGACACCGCTTGAGGTTGCAAAATCATATGACAGTTCGCCGTAAGCTCTCACTCAACTGGTAGTGTTCGAGTAAAGAGATTTCACAAGGTTTATGTACTTCTGAGGTACACCTTTCAATGACAGACACTTCCACAGAACCTCTTGGTCTACAGAGTCGAATGCTGCTTTAAAGTCAAGAAAGACCACCATTGTCCGACGCCGATAAGTATTCCTGTGTTCTAAAACCTGACGAATGATGAATATGTGCTCGATGCAGCCACGACCAAGTCTGAAGCCAGCCTGATATACTCGTATTTGCAGTTCACGAGTCTTAGTTAGGTGTCCGATAATTATTAAGGCTGTATTTTAGATGTTATATTAGTCAAACTAATCCCTATATGGTTATCACAGGATGATTTTGACTCCTTCTTATATATTAGCACAATCAGTGGTTGCGACCAGTCAGATGGGATTACGTCCAACTCCCACATTTTAGCTAAAATATTAGTCAATCTAATCACTAAAACTGGAGCACCATATTTAAAGACCTTTGGAGCCAATCCATCTGGACCAGCTGCTCTTCCTCATTTCAGATTAGATGTAGTTTTTAAACTTCACTTAGAGTCAAGGGGCCTATTTCAATGTTCCATTCAGGTTGTTTGGAGATGTTGAGTACTGTGGAGTAGATGAATGCCAGCTAATCTGCTTCTTAAAGTGTTCCACCCGTCGTTCTAAACGTCTAGACTGAAAGCAGATAAGAGTGTCCTCTTTTTCCGAGGTCGTCTCACTTACACTTGACTTCTCGATCCGGGTTTCTTTTATTAGTTTGAAGAGTTGTCTGGTGTTGCCCACAGCCACTGCCTTTTCCGTTTCTTTTGCTTTCGTTGCCCACCACAGCTCACGATCGTTCCGTAGACTTTTGGTTAACCTAGATTTGATTTGTTTTCGTTCTTCATCGTGTTCGGAGCCTGATGGCATGAGTTTACGTGAATCCATATGTGCAATAGACTTGGAAGAAATCCATTAGTATTTCGTAATCCTTTTTGTTTAAATTACTAATGGATGTTACTGCTGTTTCCACAGCTGTTCGTATATATTTCCAGGCAATATCTGGATCAGCCTCGTTTACAGAACTGTCTAGATGTGAACTCAGTTGTTTCTGGAACTTGCTTTCTCGTCCCCCAGTTCAACTCTAATGGATTTTCTTAATGTGGCTTTTCTGTGTCCAGTGAGTCTCAAGTAAATACGTGTTCGTATTAGAGCATGATCACAGTCTAAACATGTATTCAAGAGCGAGGTACAGTCTTCTATCGAGCCTCTCCAAGGATGACTGATGGCAATATGGTCTATTTGAGTCCATCGTTGGTTTGCTGCAGGTGGTCGCCATGTTGGACGATGTCTCTCCTTATGCTTACAATTATTATATGTCAAAAATAAACGACTGTCTGAGCACAGTTGCAGTAAACGGTCACCATTAATTGTTCGTCGAGCCGGGATACTAAAATACCCACCTAAATGTCTTTCTGTTTGGTTTAAGCTACCGACTTGGGTATTAAAGTCACCTGCAACGAGTAGTATGTCCGAGCGTTTAGCTTTTTGAAGTCCAGAGAGCCTTCTGTAAAAGTCATCTTTCACTTCATTATGGTTGCAGTCAGTGGGAGCGTAGGCAGAAACAACGAAAAGGCAACGACTTGTGTCACTATCCTTCTGAGTTCTTACGGAACTGTCTAGCCGAATAACACAGGCGATTGTTAGCAGGGATCCATTCTAAAAGTGCTTCTCCTTCCTTCATACTTAGTGCTATGCCTACACCTGCCAGTCCATCAGAACTAGCCATCGTATCGTCAGATAAAAGGAGAGTTTCCCATTTTGGCTAGGTGAGTTCAAGTGAATTGACCAAACCAGGATCATATATGTGTGTTTCGGAGACAGCATACATCAATTGTATGAAATTCTAGGGTCACTCGAGACATGCTGAACGAATTGACACAGGGTACGTACGTCGAAGGCTCAAACGTGTAGTTTGAAGCGAGGTTCCAGTAGACTTTGCGGAGTATTTCGTGCACTAGAATTGTCGGCTATGGTAATATTTGAGGTAGAGGTAATTATGGAAATCGTGGAGGGAGATTGATTATGGTTGATACAATAGTCTTGAGTGGTGTTAGAGGTATGAGGATGGTTATAACTTTTTGGTCGCCCAAACCGTGGAAGGATTCTTCTAGAGGTATCTGCAAAGGAAATCAGGTTAGGGTTGGTCTTACTGACCTGAGAGCATGACCGCAGTGCCCACGAGACAACTGCTTGAGGCCGGTCACACACGAATTTTTTTGTGGGTAATTTTCTGTTTGCTTCGTACTTGTTCAGACCCTACCGCCGGAGACGGATATCCGTAGGATGAGTTGAGGTATGCATTTTTAGGGTCGACTTCTTCTAACCCCACCCATCCTTGTGGGAAGGTAGCATCGCTGTTATGCTGGTTCTGTGGCTAACTTTACTGCCATCACACCCCTGTGGTCAGCAGTACGATTTCACCCTAGGACTTTGGGTTTGCTGCTTGTACTCTTACCGTCCTTCAACCGATCTGTCTGATATGGTAGGACCTCGAGGAAAAATTGTTCCAGCCAGTATAGCCCGATATTCTAGGTTTAACGAAAACGAAGAATAGACATATTCATGGTAACATATTCTAAATGTCATCCAGTGGTTAGCATTTTGGGATCAGTGTTGTAAATATTGCCAGATCTACGCAGGTTATAGGTTGTGAAAAGCACTGTCTATTGATCTGGTTGCGATTACCGATTCTAATCAGCCGCATCGGCTATACCTGTTCATATATTTGTTCATTAAGCCTTAACGGAGTGGTCGGTTTGTATACGGTGGTATCTAAGACAGTTCGTTTTTAACTCTTTCACCAAGTAAGAGCCATACTCACTGTGAGGGTTTATGGTACTACGCGGTTTCTCGTACTGAAGTAGGTGGAGCAGAGGTCAAACTAGGAACTTAGAAGTAGAAGGTCAAGCCCTTGAATCACCAAGCCACCTCTCAAGACGGTTACCATGTTATTAATAAATGTAGTAGCAAGTACTGAGACGTGATAAACGCATTGTCTCTTATATTTGTATCTGTCCTAGTATTTATCATACAATCGGCGTGTAAATGAAGTGAACTTATTATATCAGTTAGTTTACACATACAAGTATTAATCTGCGAAAAGTTTGAAGGAATTTATTCGACAATCGCTTTGATGTCAATCAAGCATCAGCTTGCTATCAGATGTACCTGTTTTAAATTGCCATCAAGAACACTTAGCTGGATAATATATACATGCTCGGTTCGAAAGTAGGATCTTTAAGTGCATTTCTGATACTAAACAAATTTTATATTTATTTCAGCAGTTAGTGTTGTACTAAGTTGTAGATAGATTCATTAATAAAGTAACCTCCAACAAAAGTTTGGAAAAGGCTAATGAATATATATTTGGCATTAGACGGACTGGTGGTTGAATGAAGACTTATATTTACAATCTTCAAACATAAGGAAAAAGCTAGTTGACCAAGTTTCCACTATGATCACTGTTGAGTGAAAAAGATGTCAAATATGAGGATTATTGACAAAACTAACCGGTTGCTATTAAGCTGTTACTGTAAAAGCGATGGATATGTTAGAAAGGCTATTCTTGAGATAAATCGCCTCTCAGTCGCAATCTAAATAACATTAACATCCGCGTACTAACCTTGACTGGCGTAAAATAGCTATAATAATGACAAAATGGCACAATATACAATAAAGAAAACCAGCCTATTCGATCATTGCACTTCCCTTCTTCGGATTCACTTTTTAAAAGTGATTGACTTACTATTTGATCTCACCTTGCTGATGTGGCACGGTAATCTAAAACTATGCATGTGTGTCAGGTTCTACGTTGTATATAACCGACTGGCTCTAAAATTTAATTCTAAACGTCTTTTCAACTAAAGAGTATGAATGTTCAGGCTGAAGACTTGACAGTAATTGGTGAAGTCGCTGACTACTAGCTTTAGTTATTTAAAATAAATTATTCTGTTAGCTGGATTTTGAGCTGTCAGCATGACAACTGCTTGGAGGTATTTGGTTACATTTGAAAATATATGGTAGTATCGTAAATACACCCACAGGTAAACAAACCCCAAGTAACCTACTTTTCTGTTTTTACATATTCATTTCTTCCCATATGTCAGTTAGTAAGGCACATGCAACTTAGAATCTGACACTTCTGCCGGCTTTTAAATTCTTTGCATTTTTACATTCAATCAGTTTTTAAGTATGTAATTTTGTCATTCTAATATATTCCTATGCATATTTGTATATTTACATATTTAGGTATTGTATTAACATGAACAGATGAGGTTAACTGACTTCCAGATGCCTCTATCACTACTACCACCAGTATATCCATCAAAATCACGAGACTCCTTAAACTTAAGGACCGAAATTCATCAGCCTCCTGAATCAACCGAAAAGATTAGTAGTGCTGCTAGTGAAGCTGCTTTACATAGATGCAGATTATATGAATTGCGCCAGTCGTTCTTGGGGATCGCTACTTCAAAAGATCCTTTTCCGCATTGTCAGACAGGAATCTCTACGTGTACATATACGAGCACAGATAATCACCCTTTTTATACCAGCTCTGTGGGTAGTTCAGGGTGTACTGTTTTAAATTCAACAAGGTTTGACCGTGGTCCTTCCATTTATGTAAGTACCCCTGATATCGATTGTCTTTCTTCTGCCAACGAATCAGACAAACTTCGTGAATCTGTAAATAAGTGCCATAAAACTACTAAAAAGCAGCCTTCACTAAGCTATTACCCTAATGTTGAATACGATCAACTTGATACGGCTGATCAACTTCCAAGTCCTAATTATTCATCCTTTATTTATTCAAATCCTCTTATATCATGTGAAAAATATGCGCCTATGGAATCTTCACTGCCCGGGAAACTTACAGCAAAGCCCACTTTATTTATCAGTAAGGCTGGGTTTTTTCCTTTAACTCCAGAGGCCGTTCGTTTATCCTCAAACGAGCTCGCAGAAAGTTCTAGTCCCTCAAATTCTGACTGTCCTCATGATTACTTTGTATCTGATGAGAATCTAAACTGTCCAAAGTCCAACATCAATATTACTAGTTTGAAAGATGTAACATGGTTATCTGAACAGTGTAAAAAGAGTGAAGGTATCCAAAGTTTTCCGCATCGATTTAATAGCAAAAGTTCGGAACCAAGGCACCGTTTTAATAAATATAGGGGCGCATGTGATGAATTGAACCCAAATTTACACCATTCAACAACCAGTTGTTTACCTGTTTCAAACCCTTCATCTAAAAACACTAGAAAGTCAGACCGAGTTAACAATTATAATTTTAAGACCATCCAATCACATGATTTACACAAAGATAATACAAGTGCTTGTCCTGTGTCTATAGATAGAATAAATAAATACGATTTTCCTGACAAAAATAAATATGCATCTATTTTACCTGCTAATCTCGAGCCTAGCACAACGTATTCACATTATGATGACTCACAGCATCGTTCATCAACTAAGTCTGTGATTGGCCGCTGTTTTTCGGTCTCACCCAACCATCGGTTGTCACACCCATTATCTAATTCTCGCAACAATCAAAGTAATGCAAAGGTCTATACGAGTGAAAAAGTCTGCACAAGGGATAACTCAAACAGTTTTACAAACGGACCTACTTATAACAAATGTTTTTATGATGATATACAAAATCATATAAGAACTTCAAATCAACATTCATCGTGTTCTTCAGTGCCCTTTAACAAGACAGATCAGAAAAGAATGAGTTCTGAATCACTTTCTTTGAGCGATACTCAAGATATAATGTATTTATATTCACATGGACATACTAATAGTGGTAAATACAGAAAACAAAGAAGTGGAGAAAGTAATCAACTCAAAAACGATGACAACCAGATACATGTCGATTCTATGCTAGGAAACCAAGACGTCTCGAAAAAATGTAGTAAGTCAGTGTCAAGAATTACTGCGGAATGTGACTTTCATCGGAGTCTTGAACTTAAAAATATCCACACAGAACAATCTAGATTGCATAGAAACCAGAATAAAACCTCTTTACAGAATAATATTGTGGCTAGTGTTTCAAATCAAAGCAGACAATTAGCTTTGACACAGGCACATGCATTAAAATGTACTGACGAAGATGTTATTTCTTTTGAAACTAGTTTATCATCTCTGCCATCCTCAGCGTTATCATCTTTTTGCCCAGGTAACACTTCTCTGGTTACTACTCATTCTCACAACATTGGTCTCTTGAAAGTGACTCTACCTGGTCTTGCAGTTGATCACTCGTCTAATAGTCATCACTCATCCGACTGTTCGACGTGTGGTTCAATATCTTATCACTCCAATAGTAATTGTAATCCAAAATCACAAAACCCAAATTTTAGAGGTACTGTTACAGAGGATGTTTGTAAGAGACGTCATGGGAGATTGAATACTGAATCCTTTAAAAGTTGTAAAAACAGAATAGATATGTCTGGAAGCTCTTCTAGTCAATCGCTTTCTCCATCCTATGTCAATGTATTACATCCTGCTCAGTCATTTGATTTGCCGTCTGGATTTCCCTCTTCAGATAATTTGTCTACTAATCGGAATTTAGTAAGTTGAATTGATAAACAGTGTAAATAATGACAAATTGTAATGAAAAATTGGGAACGATTTCGGTACAAATCAGTTGAGAATGACTGTTATCTCACCACATTTAAGCGAATTTACTATATGAAAACCCTCTAAAAATTAAAGGGGAAAAGCCAATAAGGCTTAGTGATATATGGTAATCCAATGAATATTAACTTTCATAAAGGATTAACTTTTTTGTCATTATCATGAATGCCAGATTTAGATAACACAACACTTTCCACGGTACAACTATAGTTTTTTAAAAATGTATTGTTGTTACTACAATGGCTAATGTCAACATTGGTGGTTTATTTCCTTTTCTGTCTCATATGGACTTTAGCTTTCTGTTCGGTATCACGTACATAGAAACATGATACTGGATACTAAGAATGTAAATTATTAAAATGCTCTAAGTTTTGGAAATATTCTGCATGAATTGGTAATCAGTATTCAACAGTATTATCTGATTTCACAACTATGTCAGTCAGTTTTTCATGTCTTGTGCTTCAGTATTCTCATTTAAAGAGATTTTTTCTACAAACGTTAAATAATTTGAATGAACCTATTCTTTACTACATAGAAAGCGATGTTCGATTTTTCGGAAAATTGTCTATATTTACATTTTTTAATTTATGGCAAAAAATCAGTGAAAAATAATGAAACGTCTAGAAATTTCAAAAGTCAAGCAGAATTAGTAGGACTTAGTAATGTAGGTATTATTAAGTCAATCTGATGATTAGGTTCTTTTACAATTTCAACGTTAATCTCTGTAACCCCTAGTTATATTAACAAACTAGGGACTGTAGTTGATGTAGACCAATACGTGTTCGTTATAAGCTACTAAAAATTAATTTTGGTTATTATAACCGTTCTGAGCGGTATTGTATGTGAACGTCTATTTTTAGTTCTGGATACTAAATCTCAGTGTTTTACCAGACTTTTAAGGCACTCAGTAAACGTTCTTTTTGTGAAAGTCATCATAGTTACACTACTAGTGTGGTGTATGCTACTTATGTCTGTCGACATAAATAGTATGTAACACCAAACAGAAGTGGGATGGGGATGTAAACAGAGAGTAATTGTAATAGAAATGAAGGAACGATGAAGTTTGAGACAATTAATGGATGACTTGCAAATGAAGTATTTAATATCCACATTTTACCAAAGAACTCTGTAACTATGCATTAAACGATAAATAGGTCTTCCCCATCAAGTCTTCGTTCATTTCACAAGTATCTAATTAAAGTTGTTAATTTACGAAATACAATTTATCTTGACACCTAATAGTATTCAAAAGTTATGGAAGCTTTGGAAAGTAGCTTTATTTATTCAACAAATTTAAGCTCTATTACCGTTTCCATGTTTTTATATTCTGCATATAATTCTTCATAGTAAATGTGGCCCATTAGTTAAGATGTTGTTTTCAATCAATAATTCCCAAGGTAAAAAACCACTATCCTCTTCGTTTTGAGTAGTGAAGTATTCTCAGCAAGTTTCATGCATTTGTTATGAGTCCGAATTAAGATGACCTGCACACCAATTACATGTTTATATATTCTACTTTGTGCCACATCTTTTGTCTTGAGGTTGTTAATGCTACTCGACTGCTCAAACTGAAGTAGATGAAGTGAAGTTCAAACATGTGAGTTCATGGATTAAAGGTAAATACTTCACGAGCAAAACTTCGCTTCAAACTCTTGAGCTAATAGATGAATTTGTTCTACGTTGATTGACTTAATTTGAATACCTGAATTGTATAATCTTTCCAGTAGTATCTTAGTATTTATTTGTTTAATGGTCTGTGATTGATTTAGCCTTACAACTTTTGAACTCCATGTCGATAGTTTTAAAATCAACTATACTCACGACGGTTTGAGCAACTAACTGACAATCATTCAACAACCTTCACTAATAATTAGTAGCTGGATCAGAACTTGGTTACGGCATTACATTGTTCGTTACTTTTTTTATGTAGTTGTAACGTTTTGATCTTACATGTACAAACATCTTGTTAAGCACTAGATTAAATCTAGTTCTACTGGCCTCCTGTTCATTTTGCTCAAAATTATCATGTTAGCAGTTTTCACTTTTTGATAATTTTTTTCTTCACATTACGTCTTCTAAGCCTTATCTCTAATCTAGGTGCATATAAGCTTTCTTAAGTTAGATCTTTAATAGTGTTAGACTAAATCACATGTTGCGAAGCTATTTATTTGTTTGGAGATAAGAGAGTTTGAATTCAAGTTCAAGTGATTTATTTATTTATTTAAACACATAAATATTGGTACAAGGAGGCACCAGATACTCATGCACCACACAAATACCATTTGATTTGTGTGTGGGCTGTGATACTGCCCAGGTGCCCAAACTGAAGCAGGTGGTTTTCTTAGGAAGCCATACCCGGAGCCTTTGACCTCAAGGTCTGATCCACAAGGCAGTGTAGCATCGTGAGGAGATGCAATCACATGGTAGTCAGTGACCAACGATTGATTCATACGCCATTTGTCCCCTCAGGATACTGGAGCCCATGTGCACCATTGGTTTGGAATCAGGGTTTTCCAACTCCTCTAAGGGAACATTCCGTGTCCACGAACCCGGTTAAAGCGCCGGACATTCGCTTTTCGTCCTCTGAATTTCGTAAAGAACAGTAGTGCCATGAGAAGGCAGTGAGTAGGACTTCCCTGACAGAGACTATATGCGCGTGGCCATGTGAGAGCATTTCGAGAGGGAGAGCGGACTCTCTCCACTCTCAGCCATACCAGGGCATTTGGGGGCAAGTGAATTTTAGATGTATCTCGATAATTTGGCAACATGTTAAACATGCAAAATACATATATATATTGTGATATTCTTTTAGTAATAATTATCTATTTATTTTCTGCAAGAGAATTTATTAAGTAATCTGATTTCATAAATCTCATGTTTATTCATTGTCTAATGAAATGTTCATATTCCCCGTCATCATCATAATCATCACTTCGTCATTTTTAGGATACCATTAATAAGCGCTCACCACGGCCTTCATCAGACCATTCAAGAACCTATGAAAAAACCCAGTATTCGGAGAGAAAAAGTATGCTCAAAAGTAATTCTGGACATAATTTTAAACCTGTAAATAAAGGATCTACAATCCACAATCTTGTTCATTCATCAAAAGTTTGTCGTGTTGGTCAATACATATCTGAGTCTTCTTCAATATTATCTGTAAATGATCCGGATAACATAAATGATCCTGAAAAGTTTCCTGTATATGTAAGTGAGGATACACAAGAATATGATTATATCAGAAGAGACCATAGAAAAATCTCAAAGTTAGCTGCGAAAATATCTCATTATCTTGAAAACGGTAGAGAGGCAGAGGTTAAAAACTTTGTGAATAAAATACTACATAAACCCAAATCACGGCGCGTTGTCGATGAATTGATACGCTTATGTGGAAATAATCTCCAAAATTTTCTCAATCATAATGTAAGCTCTTGCAACTATTTAGTTTTTTTAAAATAAGAATATAATATATATTTAACCTGTTGACCTAAATCTTGCTAAATATATTGACTAATTACCAAGTGTTACCTTAAATTTTAGATTACCCAACTTTTTAAATCTTGAAATCTTTCGAATAGGCTGGTAACTTTAATATTTGCCATAATTTTCCCTATTTATGGTGGGATTCTTATATGTAATCGATTCTTGACGTATCGGGGCTGGGAAATATAGAAAGCAATAACTCTCATATCACATATAGTTGGATGGAAGTTGATAAAATTATCCTACACTCTTGTCTATACTGTTGGCATCCATTAAGACATTACCTGATATATTCGGGTGGAAGTGTGGTATTTAAAGTGTACTAAATGTCAGGCTCTTTGATCTGTAGGCTATCACTACGTGTCATATATCATTTTAGTACTCCATGAACATCATGCTTTTAAAATAGCTAATCTTATATGAATATTCAACCTAGCGTTTTTCTATAACGTTTTATGCGTTGAGGACAAACGAACTTGGTACCTCTGTGAAAGTAATCTATAAAATGTGAATTGTTCATCTGTTACGTAAATTAATAAATATTAATCTCTACGGTGGTTTCATCTTCGAACTTGATAACACTCTTTAAGGAATCAAGTGAGCCTTTCGTACTAGTATTTCCAACTATCCAACATTCAATATGGCTCACTGCAACTTATAATTAGTCCAGTGACCACTGCACATTTATGTTCAATAGAATTAGATTAGCTGTGAGGGTGAGGCAAAGTAGTAGCAATTACAATTCAGTAAGCGGTTAGTGGAGTTCCAGAATAGTTTAATGACTTACTATATATAATGCCGATTTATTTTGATGCACTTTAGCAAATGGAGAAACTGAAGAATTTGCAAAAAAATTTAACTCCTTCGATCCACCTTGGAGCTTCACTTTCTGACTTAAGGACGTCATATACGCTTGAGTTCGATCCGTACCGGAATGTCGATTCACATAGACGAGGTAGCTGTGGAAGCGTACTGTCTTCACCTTGGAATATTATCTCTTACGATCGTTCTTGGGCTCCTGCGTCACATAATAGGTCTACTCTTGGGTGTTCCAACAAATTATTACCGCTTCAGAGAAAACATACTTCTTCCTTACACTCACCTAATACTGTCCGTTACATTAAATGGCCTTCTAATGGATGTGTTCGAAGCAAACCACCTTCACTGCCACCGCCACCTCCTCCTGTACCTCCAGTTTTGCTTAAAACAACAATTTTGCCATCAGATGATCGAATTCATGTTATAGATATGCATGCTATTGAAGTAAGTTGCTGCCGCTTTTTGTTTAAGATATGTTTATTGCACATGCATCTTTTGCTGTTCGCTCCACAGATGCTCCATGTATTTATTTATTTCGTTCGTTGAATGATACTTCATTTTTTCAGTGGTTGGATGTGTAGTTTGTGTATATTACTATTCCATATCTTGTTTGTAATTTATGCTATGTGATGAGATTATTTAAAACGGTACATATATAAAAACGGTATATATATATTGAAAAATAGTTAATTTGCTCAACTGACAGTTTCAGTGAAATTGTTATTTCAATATTTCTTTCTGCCTCCATTTTCTCGCAAGTATCTGATGTTTGTCTTCAATGATTGGTGTTGATATGTCGATTTTGTTTTCAATCGGGTTGCTGTTTAGCTTAGTAAATAAAGTCTTACTCCGTTCACTTTTCTGTAGTGTATTTTTTAACCAATACATTCGCTACAAAATTGTTTCAGGTTACTAATCGTGTTCATATGACATTCTGTGAACTGATTTCTGATCTGACTACTGGTATGGATAACGAAGTTGAAGTTATACGGTAAGTATCGCTTCGCCGATTCGTTTACTGTAATGTTAAATGATTCAGACTTTTATTTAACAGTTAATTTTGGGGGGAATGATTTGATTATGTAGTTATGTATAATTCCAGTTCAACTATTTACAAATTATTCAGTCCTTTTAGAAAGTGCGCTAAATGTAGCTCTTATTCTATATATCAAGACTTTGGACCTCATTAAACCAAGTTTGAACACCATTTATTATAATGTAGATCCACTCGCACTGAGTTGGGAATATTCTGTGATAGTTCGTCAGTCTTGGGGGTAAATTCTGCATCAAGTTACGTATAAGAATATTTTATGAAACGCCTTTGATACATGGTGAACGTGAATAGTCGGCTAAAAACATATGATGAAAACAAATGTGGCACATTATCATGGATGGAAAACAATTTCACAAACTTTTGATATCATCTACATGAATAAACCCATAAATGCTAGAAGTAAAGCCGATTTTGGTCTAGTTAAACATCAATCATTATATGAAAATGAACTATATTAATATATTTCATTAGCCCTCAAAAATACCTTGAAAATGTCTTTGAGAATCAGGAAAATCCCTTAACTGATCTGCCTTCTTTGGGAAACTCTAATAGTTCCAGGGAAACGGCGGATTATGTTTTAATTATCTTCATTAGACAGCTATAGATTTTATAAGCACTCAAAGCGTGTTTTCCAGAAGCTTCTGGGATCTTGAAAATCATATATGATTCTATAAATACCCTTGCTTTCTGTACATAAGCTAATCTTCTAATTGAAACTATTTCCACAATTCTCGCCTTCTTTCCCTTTCCGGGGTTTAAGAATAAAAAAATTTCTGGAGACGAGAAGGCGGTTAAAGGGTTAGTGTCTGACTCTCTAACTACAAATATATCCCCACTACAAATTGCTTTTAACTTTTCGTCAATTCTCTAGATATTCTGCTTATTGGGAGAAATATCTATCAAATATTGTTCATCGTAAATTATCATTCTCATCATGAACACATAATATAACCTTTTCCAAAATTCGCTTTTTAGTTCTCTTTACCGATGGATTACTGGTAAGGATATCAGATGTGAAGATTATGATCCAGAGGCCCCATCTGATTCATTGATTGGAATGTTGAGACAGATGAAATATAATCAGTTATCGCGTAATGAAATATTTTATGAACTATGCCGGTACGTGTTTTGCCATTTCAGTTCAGAAAATTTATAGATCTGTCACTGAGAAAAATAATTTCGATCGTAACTCACTTTCAATGAGACTCATACAGATTTTAAGTAGTTATTTGGTGATTGAATATTTTATGATTTTTAAACTTCTGGAATTATCACAATTATACTGTTGTATATATTCCTCAATAAAAAATATGAACTTTTTTTTTCACCATCAATTGGCGTAATTTTTAATGGATCTAATTTGATATTTGTTGTTTTATGTACCTTTGTGATATGCATGACTTCAGAATAAACTTTAATTCGTATAATAGACGGTTTAATTTCCCAGTAACGAAATAAATGAACCAGTATTGTTAGAATAGCTTACAATCTATATCTAGGTTTTCCAATCATTTAGTTCTTAAATGAAAATTTCCATAACTCTATGAAGGTATATTAAAAGAATCGAAAGTATTAGCTGTCAGCTTGATGTGTGAGATTTTTTCCAACTGTTGGCTAAAATTTACATTGTCATCGATGTTCATGAAGGAAATTCGGTTGATTTGTGTCGGAATCCCTCCGAAATTCCACAATAATATCTTTAAAGACCAGAATAAGGCTGGAAACTTTTCATACAATCAGCATGTGACACAGAAATTCATAGAAAGTGGGAAGATCATTTGTCTTATTCTGAATAAATAATTACTTTGTTCCAAAGTTAGCATGCTTCCAGTAGCTTCAGGTGATCAAAGGTTATCAACAAGCATATAGAATAACTGTTGTCCACTGTACATAATCTACTTCGAAGTAAAGTTTCTTTCCTTTGAGTTTCTTCTTTACCTTTCTGGACTCACGTGTAGTGGTCTGGTTCTTTAGGATGTGGGCGAAAATTCAGTGTTAAACATATCAATTTAATCATTTGCACTTACTAATCCCACTACATGAGATTAAGTAACAGGGACTTCTTTTAGGACCGATACTTTACAGTCTACTGGGACCACTTGACCCAGATCTTCAGTAGAATTCAAAGTATCTTAGTAGTTTTCATTCAACCCATTATCTTTAATCGTTACTAATGATAATCCATCAACCTCTATTACTTTATCATGTTTTTATCTTATGAGGTTGTTACGATATGCATATAAAATTCTGAACACCTTTACTAAAAGGCTGTTTGTAGTCGTCTTGCGACGTTTTAGAGGTTCTTCGTAAATCTGTGTGAAAACATTTGTTGTTATTTTATCTCTTTTTGTTATGATGTTTATATTACGGTTGATCGATAAAATTAACTGACAGGTAGTGTTGTTATTCACTTTTGTAGTTTGCAGTCTATTGATTTGTGTGTATTTCGTCAACCTGCTCATCTTGTAGTGATATTTTTGGCTTGTCAGGCTAATTTTATTTCAGTTATATGACTTTTCAGAGATTTATCGCGTTTCCTAATTATTTATACTTTGGATTACATATAGATATTTCTATTGTTACCAAACTTGAGATAAACTTTGCGCCACTGTTGCACCAATTAACTTTCTCTCAGCTTTTATGTTATCGGATTGCATCCTCTGAGTGAATCCGTTTATATGTCATATTGGATACATAAATTAAAGTTCCTTATCATACAAAGAATCACTTTTTTATCTTCATGACTTTATTTATTGCGGTCTGTCTTCGTAATTGTTTGTTATGGAGGCATTAATCAGGGGTATAGATTATTTCATCATTGAGTTGGACAATGTGATTGTTAACTTATATACTCGGTCATCTATAATCAACGTAAAGCGTGGGATAAATATGCGTTAGCCAGAGCTCTCATACCAGATCAGCAGGATCAGATGAAATTAACATTGTTGGTATTAAATGAATTAAGATAATTATGGTAACAACGATGATGAGAAAGACCAGTCTTTAAGCAGGATCCACGTCGCGTCTTACGTAGGAACTTGTCAGCCGGATGTACCTGCGTCCCAGAGTTGATATTCACTCCGAAACCCGAATCCAGTACTGTTCACTTCAAACGCCATTGAGTAATCCACTTAGCTACTGAGTCCGGTTAGCCATTAGCTTGTGGAGTGAGGTGACAAAATGCGCTTTCTGGATTCTGTTGCTAGCTACCATCCATCTCTGCTTAAACACGCTTGTGTCTTATTGGCAATATCGAGAAAATCCTCACAGGATTCACAAATACCGAAGGGACTGATCAATTGCAGTCCTAAACGTCAATGGGAAGATTCGAACGACCAACACATACAGATTCCAAAGACTAGTCTTTTAAAATGCAGCTCCATAAGACTTAATGGACAGCTATGCATGAAGAAATACTGTAAGTGAAGATCTAGGGGAAGATTAAAAGTGAATGCATCTGTGTAATTGTGGTCAATTTTGAGCCATTTCACTCAGTCTTCGAAAATTTATCAGGGTTATCGCACAGACTACAGCCAGGTAGTTGGATCTACCACAAAAGCTCAGACCAACAGTTAGTTAATCCATGGACTGGCTATTCACGAATCTTGATCTACTTGCTTCTAGCTTCCTTCCAACTCATTTCTAGTGTTACACTTCCCACGTCGATGTATACAGTGCTTTGGCATATCTACCACATGTCCTCAATCTCCTCTGTAGATGAAAATTCACAACCTCATCAACTAGTTTGCCATCTTTACTTAGTATTCTTTGCCGAACCTCGACATTGTTCACTCGATTCTTCCACAATACGTGAGCAATGCTTTGAAATCAGTCATGACCAATAATCCACAACCTACTCATTTCTTATGTTTTCACAGATCACATTTAACGACTAGAAAATAATACAGAGTGGACTACTGAACAGTATACTTGCTCTTTAGTCGGTAGACAATTGTCTCGTCCATGCCATATAGGTAACCTAGGCTGGGAAACCCAACCGAACCTTCTGAATTTATGCTGTGATTTTGTCAGACGCCTAGCCGTTAGGGCTGATGGAATTTTCAAGTTAAGTGGAGTGGTCGATACACTCAACCACTATATCTTAGTGGTAACATCTCAGACTGTAACTTTGATTGATGTGAGTCAAATCTTAAAATCATACATAGTTGTTTGTATCCTAACATATGGTGTTTTTTTCGAAAAACGGGCAAGTTTCTTCAGTAGTTTGACTTCATCTTTTCATCTAAATACCTTGTTTGGAGTTCATTTATTATATAAACAGATTACCAGCATAAAATGAGTAACTAAATATATAATTTATATTTTGTTTAGTATCATCCATCCATATTGTCACCAGAACATTAACAGTTTTAGTAATTTTCCTTTATTTTATTCAGGTATGCTGGATTACAATGTCAGTATATAACTGGTTATTCTAAAGGTGCTGGATATCGTCCAGGAATGCCAATTAGAGATAATCAACTTTTTCGCAATACTTGGCTTGCAGTGTACATTTGTGATGGTTGGCGCTTTGTAAATTGTAATTGGGGTGCTCGGTATTTATCAGAAAGTAAATCTTGTTTTCCACTAAATGTTTTTATTCTGTTTTCTAATATTCACTTTAAATCTGCCCTGCACTATATCTACGGTTTCAATCTCTCACTTTTTCTGTCTAGTGTCGTTTGGGCTGTAATAAAGTATCTCAATAAATGTAAATATCTGTCTTCACAAATACATAATTAGATTTTTAAATTTGAAAAGTATTAAGGTTAAATTTCGTAGTTCGATAAATTTATTTGTATCAGCAGTGTGACTAAATTATGTGGAATATGTCACTTCCATTTATTTCTACAACATAGAATCACACAGCTTCAACATTTTATGTTTCCAAAATGTTTATTGGCAAATCAACGCTCAGTCAGTCACAACGTAGAACTTCGTACGTACGTACATCAGTTCGAGTTGCCATACCACATTAGCACAGAGATGCAGTTGTCGATTCAAATCCCATAGTGGTAGAGGTGGTAAGAGTATAGGCATTATGTGAAAGATTAGGGTTTAAAGATAATATTAAAGGAGTATAATACAGTGAAATAAATTTGGAAAGAGAAAAAAGATAGAGACATGGAAAATTCAGAAGATTAGAATTTGGTAGAACACAAAGAGTGGATGCACCTTCGCCATTGCAAACGATTTTCAGCCATGTCATTCAAGGTCTCTAACCATCGAATGCTATCATCTCGCGCATTCCAACCAGGTAGTCTACACCTACCAACATGGCTCAGTCCACTTGTCAGTGACTTCATGGATTTGTGCCATGTTTTGGTCTGGCCGTCCCTAGCTTTCTTCCAACCTACTCCTACACCATAAAACTTCGCTCGTCGGGGCAGTCGGTGGTTGGGCATACGTAACACGTGTCCCAGTCATTTCAACTGATGAAGTTTCACTACTCCATCAATCGATTTTCCATCCTTAACTAGTACCCGTTTCTTAACAACTACATTACTTACTCGGTGGTCCCGGGATATACGAGCAATGCTTCGAAGACACTTATGATCGAATACTAGCAGCCTACGAATATCCTCTACTCTTATCGGCCATGTTTCACTGTCATAACGTAGGACGGAACGAACTGATTTCTCTGTGATTGTCACAAGAGGACTTTTGTCCTTTCTTATAGACTGGCACAGTCAGTGATGGGGACCAGTCAGATGGAATTACGTCCAGTTCCCAGATTCTACCTAAGACCTCAATCAATCTCGCTGCTAGTACTGGACCACCATCCTTAAAAATATCAGGAGTAAACCTGTCAGGGCCTGCTGCTCTCCTTCGTTTCAGATTTCCTATAGCTTTTTCAACCTCGTAGAGAGTTGGAGAACTTACATTAATTTGTCATTCAGGTTGACTGGGGACTGTGAGAAACCGAAATGTGACTGAAGGCCAGTTGAACTGATCCCCAAAGTGTTCTGCCCACTGATCTAATCTCCTGGATTAAGAATGAATGATATGTCCATCTTTATCTGAGATAGTTTCGCCGATATTTGGGTCCCTAATACCGGTTTCTTTAAGAAGTCTGAATAGTTGTCTGCTGTTACCTATTGCCGCTGCCTTTTCCATCTCTATTGCTCTCGCTACTCACCAATGTTCACGATCATTGCGTAGGCTTCTTATTAGCTTGTGCTTAAGCTGACTCCGCTCTTCGTCATGTTCAGAGCTAGATTGGATGAGTTTTCGAGCATATATCAGTGCAGTAGATGCTGCCGAGATCTAGTGTTTCACCCTAACCTTATGGTTTACCTTACTAGCGGATATCGCCGCTGTTTCCACAGCTTTTCGGATGTCATTCCACGCTGCTTCAACGTGGACACAGCTTACATGGCTGCTCAACTGATTTACTAGTTGTTCCTGAAATACATTCCTAGCTCGTCTATCATTAATTATAACCCAAGGAGGTTTCCCTGCAGTGTCTTTCCTACGTACGTTAAGACTCAGACAGATACGTGCTCGCACCACAGCATGATCTGAATCTAAACATGTGCTCCAGAATGAGCGACAGTCTTCTATCGAGCTCCTCCATCGGTGGCTGATAGCGATGTGATCTAGTTGGGAAGAATTCGGGGGCCGCCATTTCAGAAGATGTTTTGTCCTTATGCTTAAAGTTAGTATTTGCAAGGAACAGGCGGTTGTCTGAGCATAGCTGCAACAGACAGTCGCCGCTATCTGTTCTTTTAGCCACGACACCATATGATCCACCCATGTGTCTTTCTCTTTCGCTTAGTTTAACTTTTTGAGCATAAAAGTTACCAGCCACTATTACTACATCAGAACGCCTAGCTTTTCGGAGAAGGTCGGAAAGTTTCCGGTAAAACTCATGTTTTACACTATCTGAGCTACAGTCAGTGGGCGAGTAGGCAGAGACGACGAAGAGGCAACGACGAGTGTCCCTATCTTTCCGAGTCCTTACTGATCAGTTTAGTCGGACAGCACATAGACGACTGTTTATTGGGATCCAGTCTAAAAGAGCTAGTTCTGCCCTAGGACTTAATGCTATACCTACTCCAGCGAGGCCACGAGAAGCAGTATCAGGGCTTCCAGATACACGAAGCGTGTATCGAATCGGTTTTTTATTATGACATGATGAGGTCAAATGAATGACTCTAATCGGATCTTGTATGCGCGTTTCGGAGACGCAGCACACATCGATGGAGCGAGATTCTAAAGTCTTCGCTAAGGAGGCTTGTTGTCCTATTCGGCACAATGTTCGAACGTTAAAAGTTCCTACATATAGTTTAGATCGTGGTTTCAGGAGACCAGGAATAACGTTCCGTGTACTTGAATCGTTTGCCCTAGCGGTGCGAGGTGATAAAGGGACGTGGGGAGGGCCAGTCGTGGAGATAAGAGAGTTATTAGGTGTAGGAAGGATTTGAAAGTTACCAACTTGGTCTCGTGTGTTATTACGGGTATGAGGGCTAATATCATTTCTCGGCTGCCAACACCGTGGAAGGGTATTTCTTGAGGGACCTGAAAAGAAAGTTGGATTAGTGTTGGTCTTAACGACCTGGGAGCGTGACCGCAGTGCCCAAGGGACAACTGCTTGAGGCCGGTCACGCACGGCCTTTTTGTGGGGGATTTTTGACGTGTTAGCTTCCTTCTTCAAAGGACTTTACCGCCGGAGACGAAAATCCGTGGGTTAAGGCGAGGTGTGTATTTTTAGGGTCGATCTTTTCTAAGCCCACCCCTCCTTGTGGGAAGGCAGCATCGCTGTTATGCTGCTAGTCTGAAGGAATCACCTTACTGCCGTCATACCTCTGTACAGTTGACAGTACGACTTCGCCTTCGGACCTTGGGTTTGCTGCTATTAGTCTCACCTCTCTTCAACCGACCTCTCTGGCATGGTAGGACCTTGAGGAACGATTGTTCCAGCCAGTATAGCTCGATTGGTTCATCACGATAGGCAAGCCCAACCACCACGTCAAGGTAGCAGCAACGGTCGGGCAAGTCAACGCTGATAGATACTTGTGTGTTGTTTTGTTAAATAATTGTCATAATCCAATATACTCTACTCATGCCTATACTGTGTTCTTAATCGGTTTTTGGTTGAAGTGTGAGAGAATAGTTTGGTGGCCAGGTTTATAGTGCCGAGTCAATAAGGTACCCCTTACGCTGTATGGAAAATCCCTCGTCTTAGGTTAAGAGTTCTTAAAACATATAGATCAAAGCACAGTATACAATTTTCCTGGTCAGTTCCTATAGCTATTCTTTTTTCTTTGCGCCTGGTTTTATTTGTAGATTTACTAGACAGTCGTTCATCTGAATGTGATGAATTCTATTTTCTAACTGATCCAGAACAACATGTTTTTGAGAATTTACCTGATTTAAAAGTATGGCAGTTATTACGCAAACCATTGAGTATGGATCGATTCTGTCACTTACCACTACTTAAATCGCCATTTTTCAATGCTAATCTATTTTTGAAAAAGAATTATTCCGATTGTTTAGTTACCAAAAATGGACAGGTAATTTCAGTATTTTTTTATGAGTACAATGTGATATTCACATCATTCACTTTGTATGAATGAACAACTTTTGAATTGAGTCTGTAATTTGATTTTCTAGAACTTTACTTTATACAAATAGTTCGTCTGAGTATATGTTAACACTGTAGCTACAATAACTTGAGCGGTGTTTCTCTGTTTTTTTTCTTCAGCTCTTTATTCACAGGTGCGTGGTTTATAAAACTTAGTCGATTGAAGAATAACGAAAACATAATTATTGTTATATAATGAACGTAGACAAATCCACATCAGTGGCTTATGCATTGTGGTAAACGATAATTATTTTTTGAGATTTGCAAGCTTATAGGAGTGATTACTTACTTAAACCTGCAACCTCCCCTCGGATATAGGTCATTGACTAAGGATCTTCAATAATTTTGTCCCTGTCTCTCCTTTCCAGTCTTTGCCAAGTGGTATTCATAATCCTAATGTGTTGCCTTCGATTGACACCGCTATGTGTTCTTCCAGCTGTCTATTTTCTTTTTTCCTCGAGGGTTCCGAGCTAGAGCTTGTCTTGTAATACAGTTTAATTTTTTCCCACGAAATGTTAACAATTCACTTTCGGCGTCTTTTCTTAATTTCTCCAACTGGTGTCTGGTTTGTTCTATGTCAGAGTAGGTTATATTGATGGTCTCTGTACAATGGATGTGTATTATCTTGCCTAGGAAGCTGCTTATGGATACCTATAATTGTTTTACTCAATTCATTTCTCAGAAATGATCCACGGTGTTCCCGTTTGTTTACTACATGATCGATCCTCACGAAAAGCAAATTGTTGATTTTTGAGTTGGGCATCTACTAGATTTTCTATTCGGTCCAGCTAGCTGTATTGAAACATCTGATTGACACTAATCTTGACGTGTTTTTTCTGTGGTCCTTACACCTACTAGAAACTCCTTTTTTTGGGTATCTTTATGAAATATCCCTCTTTCCAGTCTGTTGATACCTGTTCTTTCTCCGAGATCTTTCTGAAGAAAACGTGACACATAATTGAATTTGCTTCTATATCTAACTTTAGTATTTCATAGTTGAAAGCATGAGTCAATTGAAGCTAGACCACCATGGAAAACCTGGAAACACTGGATGGCCGTTTCGTCCTATCATGGGACTCCTCAGCAGTGCGCATCTAGCTTCAATTGACTCACGCTTTCAACCATGATAAATACTAAATCTCCACAAAACCCCTTCTATAATTTAGTATTTCAGATAGTGTTCCAACTAGTCCTACTGTTTCGCCATTCTTGATTTATGTGATGGTCTTATTTGGTCTTCTATTATTGGTGGGGTATCATCTATGGTGCGATGTTTGTGCGCTGTTCCTATATCCGATAGGTTCAGATGAGCTGGTCTGTTCAGAAGCTCTTCAAAGTGCTGTACCTTTGCTTTCGATTCTCACTAGTTGGCATTTGTTGGGGATGCTAGGTCCTCATGAATCACTTGGTCAACATCTCATTTTTGTAATTTTATCTTGGAAATTTGAATTTCTTATTTTCGCTTCAAAAGCGCTTACCTTTACCTTCACCTTCGTATTTCCCACTTTGATGGACCTTAAATGCCATTGGCTCGTTTCCTCATTTACTACGCTATTTTGTGACGTTTTCCAAGGATGTTTTTGTACTATACGCATACTCGTGAGTTGTGTTCTTGATCATTCGTTCTTCCAACTACTTGTGGAATATACATATCCCTCAGCTGAATCTGGTCTTTTCTCCAGTAAGTAGGGCTGCAGCGTAGTGGAATAGCTTAGCTTGTCCTGTTGTTGTGTTGCTGACTTCGTTCCGCTTCGCCGGTTCTCGGTGATATCACAATTTCTTCGGACGAAGCAGTTTTACGTCTTCGTTGCTGACTAGTCGCTCTCGTCTACTTTTTTTTCCTGTTAGCTTTTTACTTTTGCGATATGGTCCTTCCATACGTTCTCTTCTTTCAGCTTGTCCTACTGTAGTTGTCAGGTCCTCTAAATATTTATGCTTATCAGTTGTACTGCTCTTCTTTACTCATTTGTTTGCTTCTGTATATTCAGTCTGTATCTTGGCTTTCTCTGCATTTTAAGGTTTTTTTAACTTCTGTCTTTTTGTTTTTCCTTTCTTGAGTTGCGCCCACTGTCTTGATCGATACATCCTTTATTCTAGTACTTCTTAAACTTCAACACCTCTTGGCATATCGAATTTATTACTTTTTTAGGCCCTATCTAGTTTTTGCAATAATGGTTTCTCGTAGTGGTTTTTTGTCATAGATGAAGTGTGTTGTAAAACAGCTGTAGTTCAAAGCGTAGTGTATGAATTTACAAATATTGGTAACGGGAGCATTCAAACGATCAATACAAATGAATTAACGTCCACTCCGTCGCACAAGTCAGCGACCGTTTGAGCTCAGAAGTTAAATGGATAAGTGCGTTGGGCGTTTGAAGCAAAAGGTACTGGGTTCAGGTCCCAGTGTAACCTGAGGCGAGGGCACATCCAGCTGACTAGTTCGCAAATGTGACGAAACCCGCGTCCTGGATTCCACTGCCAGTCGGCGTCCAACTCTGCTCACAGTTTGTTGTAATTAGTTCACAAATCATCCTTAATATCTTAGTGTAAATTAATTATATATTGATTGTAATATTTTTATTCTTATGTACACAGTTCTTCTAAGTACCCTTGACTTATCAACTTTCTATTCCTTACATAATTTTCTTATATTCTGTAGTCATTTTATTTGAATTCCTTATTAATCTTGATAATAACTCTAATATAAACTTGTCTGATCCTTTTTTATATATGTATTAGGTGAGTGTAAAAATAAAAATGTCGAAATTTGTCGGCATTTCCTGCAGCTTAGAAAACTGTGCTGATCACAGTATTCTGTTAGGGTTATGCTTAGTCGAAATCCTGTTACGACCATCAGGAACTGTACGCATTGAAGCTGCTCCATCACAACCAGGAAAATATTATTTAAATGTTTATGTTTCACCTGATTGGCGGCGTGAAGATATCAGGGAGTTGGCATGTTCATTTCAGGTTAGCACTTGGCCTTTTTTAATCTGTTTCTCATTTTAACGCTTGAATTTTTCAGGCCAGTTGACTAGTCTAAGGCCTGTAGGACTTTGTATTATTATAGCTCGTTTTAAGTCTTCGGATTTGTAATTCACAAATAAGTCAAACCCTCATAAATATTTTAAATGATATCAAAACGTTATCATTAAATAAAGTTCGGTAACTAATAATTGCAAAGTATTTATTTAATTAGAATTAGAAAATAATATGTTTTTGTCGGATATCAAGTGATTACTATAATGGAGCTGTGGCTTAGTTGTTCAAGTGTTTGAATTTCGTCCACTTAATCTCAGGTTCAAACCCAGCTCCACCTATATTGGTTTGGGCAACCAATTAGTATCATTAGCTCCCACACTTAGAGCGTGGCTCATATCAAAAGTACCTGGAAAATGAGTTAATTTGAAGTCTATTATGGTATTAATTTGTGATTTTATTTATTACACAATAGTTTTCTTGAATCGTCCTTACACAAGGAATTTAGAAATAGACGTGAGTCAATTTTCTCTTATATTAGTTCCTACGTTGTTTATTTGAGTGCTATTTTACCCATTAACAAAACTTTTGTTTGTATATAATTACCTGTTTAACTAAACAAGTTTGCAGTGACAGAAGAACATAACAAACTCTTTCAGTCATAACTGGTATATTTTTATCTTTTATGATTCATAAGCTAACAACTGTTTTCAGATTTTTGGTAATATAGTTTTTTGTTTACGTTACTCTTATGTACATAGTTTTAAAAATTTTCACCAAGCCTTGGCTTGAGTTTCTTTGTTTAAAATTTTAATGATCATGGTACCGTATCACACCTTTATTTGTCATGATTTTTTTGTTTTTCTTCCACAGATTCATTGCTCAGAATATAATTATTCTCGTCTAGTTGTGACTGGTCGATTGCCTGAAGTTGGCTTTCTTGGTCGTACACCCGCTTCAGAAGTGCATGGCGTGCTAATGGTACCAGAAGGTGATGCGTCCGATGGTCGACCATACATTGTACACAGTGATCCAAGACCTCTGAAAATTCCTTTTGCTATTGCTCCTGGTCTAAAGGTTAGATCGATTAGACCATCTTCTTTCTTACTTAATATCAAATAATTGAGTAGGTTAAGTTCGAATAAATTCAAGCGAACTCCCTGTATCGTACTCATTCTAGTCTTAAATGAATACAACTTAACTGGTATAAAAAGTAGTGTATAAATTAAAAATAATAGGAATGAAAATTGATTACTTATTCTAAGTGTCAATTTTGAAGATTGATGTTGAATGTCAGTAGGAGGAAAGTTCATGTCTCTCAGCTTTCATATACAGTAATAGGGATTTATGTTGAGAATGGTATGTAGTCCCTTGTTGTACTACTTATAACACTAACTTGATTACTTTACTCGTTTCGTATTCACTAGGCCATACAGATTTCAACATTTCTAAAGCCAATCACATAGTCACGTATAATTTCACTTTTTTATTCATAACAAAACTACGCTGTACAATAATTTGTCAATCTTAGTTCATATCTAAAACACTTTTGATACAAAGGTGCTTAGTATACCCAGATCATCTTGCCAACAGTCTTCAGCCATACAGTGATGTAATAGTAAAGTAATATGTACTGACATTTTGGATGAAGTAGGTTGACCACCAAATGATTTGTAATGTAGTCGACCTCATCTACTCCATGACTCATTAAAACCCCAAAGACGTTTACGGATTTATGAATTTGACGATAAGTAAAAGGCACGGATTATATTCAGTTAGTAGTTATGGTTGTGACCGATTCAATGTTGTCAAGAGGCTTATTATGTTATAAATTTCCACTTAAATTACAGTTTCTTGAAGCAACTTAATTTGTTGCGGCATTTAAATAGTATAAACAAACGATTGAACCTAATTTTCTTGTATGCTTTCATGGATGCTATAGGTTCTAATTTAGAACTATTGATTTGATAAAATATATCTCTTACATGCATGAGACTATTTCTCGATATGAACGTCGTATCAGGGTTCTCAGGAATTCCTGTATACTAAAATCAGTGTAAGCTGGTTGTAATTAACCAAACTTGGAGTTTGAGAGTGGAATCGAAGCTTCTGTAAATTTTCTATGGAGGCCGTAAAATTTCATGTTATACTAATATCAGCTAAATTTGTTCTTACTATTATTTTTGTAGCTATGCCACCAATTAAAATCGTTTGATCGACCAGGTCATCAAATGGCAGATTGTGATAGCTATGCATTACTTCAAATGAAACCAAGCCATCAAAGTAGTGTTTCGTATTCAAAGCCATTCAGATCTCAGGCTAATGCCTATTATAACGTTCGTCTACCTGTACAAGCATTTTATTACTTGACTATTTATGCTTTTAATGAAAATGATATTGTCAAAGATCACCTAGACTGTGTGTATCGTATTTTAATTGATGCACGTAACTGTCGTTCTTCTGAATTAATTCAGGCTTATCCGCGTCAAACTTTTTGGTGGGTTCAATGTCGATTAATTGAACCTAAACATCAGCATTTATTCATTAATCGAAATTATAAATTTTGTCTAGACGCTCCTCAATGTGATTCTGTAGCTGTTGTAATCAATGGGTCAGAATGGCATTTTCTCACTCCATCTTCACCAATATCATCGTCTAAACTCCATTCACCATCTGGCAGTAGTCATCATGGTCGTTGGAGTGGTAAAGTTCACACTGGAAAATGCTTGGGGCAGCTATCTGTGTTTGGACGTATACCTCATATTAATAAATTTAAGAAGATAAGTTTAGAAAATGAATCCAGAACAATTAACGAATCCATGAATGGGGGTTATAATGGTAATGACAATGCAAACAATACTAATACTATCACTAATAATAATAATAACAATGAAGATGATGAAGAAAATTCCTATATTAAACTTTTAGATTATATTCTTGTTCAAAAAGAATTCTTTAGCTAACAGTCTGTTTAAGCTTACTAATAATTTTCCTCACAGTTTTTACCATCTAATCAAACTGAACACTTCCATTTTCTGTGGATATTACTTTTTTTATTGCCAATTATATTCTTCAGAGTAGCTCAACTGTTAATACTACGTGTTTCAAAGTATAGTAGTTAATAATAATCATGTTTGTTATGTATTAGTTGAATATATTTTGTGAATTCTTTACTTCCACTATTTATTTTTTGTGTATTTGAATGTCATGGAAGGAAAATAATTGAAATTATACTCTCACTATTATTCTTCCACTTATGTGTGATAAAACCCATTAGTTTTTTTTTCTACTTATTAACATTTATTTATTTACTGTTATTTTGTTATCGACTAGCTATTTTGCGTGTATTTAGTAGTTTTACATCAGTTTTATTCCGATTGGAAAGAGATACACATTGAAGTAAAGTGTGTAGGGAGAGAGGTAGAATAACAAAAAGATTGTTGACTTTTGATCGTATTTATTACGCCTCACTGTTTTTTGTTTGTGAGAAAATTTGTTCCACTAACTGACTAAAATATTATGGAGATTTTTTTCCATTTCTAGTTGATTGGTTCGGTTTCCTAGTCGATTGATTTCTTTCTTTGGTGGTTAGTAAAAATACTGCATTAAGCGATAACAAACACTTATTTTCTGATTGACGCATAATCTGAACTTCAATCGACTCTCAATGAGTATGCACAGTTTAGCAAATATCAAGAGGAAATATTTTTCTTCTGTTAACATTATCAATAATAATTCTGGTAAAGAGAATTCAGCGAAGAAAATTTTGTTTTCGACGAAATCATTTACTTAAGCTGTATAGTCTTATTTATAGTTATATGGAAAATATATGTCTATAAAATAATAGAAAATATTGCACCATGAATTAATTCGAGGCTCTTATTACCAGATGAGGTTACGCAAGAAATTTTTCTTCGCTGAATTCTCTTTGTTTTTATTCAATGACACAATGGGTTGTTCTAATGATGCTGATGATTTAATATTTTAATTTGATTCGATTGTATTTTCTTTTTTATTTAATATAATATGATATTATTATTAATCAAAAGAGGTTTACCGTAGTTCTTTACGCACACTCAAAAAGTGAGGCATTCTTTCGGGAAAAATTTTGTGATTCTCAGTTGATTATTATTTCTAATTTATTCACTAGATTCTATGTATGTTCATTTTAACTGTGTGCTAACATGTAATTAGTTTATTTTGTTAATCGTTTTCCTCTTGCCTTATTATTGATTATGTAGTTTTAAAGCAATTAATAATGTGACGGGTAACTTTCAGTCTCCAATTTTTACCAAAGTTTGTTGATATAAAGTAAAAGAAAATACTGGAATTTATATAATTGTTCGTTTTTCCTTCTTTCCCCATCACTTATGTTTGCTTATTTTGTATGATACGATACATTTATGCTTACATCATTAGCTTAACTGTTTTCATGTTGTTTAATTATGTTTGCATATATAATGTATACCGAGGGCAATAACATACTTTTGTTAAGTAGCTGCTGTCACCTAAAGGCGCGCGAATACTGTTAGTATTTATTTATTTCTTTTAGAGTGTTTGCTAACGTAAAAAGCACTTAGTCATTTAGTATTCAATGGCTAAAGCTGACTAGTGGTGAACGATTCAGAAGTAATGTTTTTGACTGTCACATTGAATGAAACGAGACCGAATCCCACAAGAAGAATCTCTTTTGTCTAGATTGTACATATGTTTCGTCGATGAGCTCCAACTTCCGTGAAACTAGGTTCCAACCATCATTCATGAAGAATCATATATGTACGGTTAAAAGGATGTGTAAAACTTAATAGTTGATATCCAAACCAGATAAATGGAGTACCATTTACAATTTTAAAATCGAACAAATTGTCACTACATAATTAAACTTTTAATTAGCTGTAGAGTTTGGTTAAAACATCATAGAAACCAGTCCTCATGCTTTCAAAATAAGTGAGTTGGGAAAATAGGAAAGTTTCTTAATTCTCAGATTTGTCTAGGAGAAGAAGCTTGTTGACATTCATGTGTCAAATTTATAATCGAATAGCGCGTCCATATTCGAAAAGCTACGCTTTTAGACACAAGTCGATCGTCAAATCTACTTCCAAAGTTTTCGTTAGCATATATAGATCGACTGATTCTTGGTAGTGTTGTAATTGGCATTTTAAAATAGAGCTGATCATAAATTCAATATTTCTTAGGGACAAATTCTTGCCAATCTTAAACTAATTAAGAAAATTCTGTTTATCGATTTCGTAAAGTTTAACTTTACAAAGCTTTCTACTAAGTTAGAATATACACTAAGGATGTAAGAAAATTGCAAGTGAATTTGTTAATTTATCTGCATTATATTAGTCAAGATTCTCGAATTTTTCTAGTTATGTATGTTGTTTTGACTTCCGTATGAATTTTTAAAAGACAGCTTCCTTTGTACAACTTATTCACTTGGTTTTATAGATCGCTAGTCTCCCAACACAGTTTTATTTTGATGGTTCATTTGTCAGCCTTTATTTAGGATACTTAGTATGGGATAGGATTTCAAGTATTATTGTGGCTTCTGTCAATCTGAAGTTACTTATTAAGGAAATTTTATATTAAGTGAACTCGAAGAAATGTACTGAACTGATTAATAAATTTCTAACATGCGCATCACTCATGTCAACTTAAACATGAACTACTTATTATTGACGGAAATTTAGCGGAATCACGATGATATATCGCATATTTTTACTTATAGTCTTGAAAACATAAATGTGATATAACTAAGATTATTCATTTCATAAATTCATACTTTAGTGTATATAGTTCATTGTCATAATTGTTTTATAGCGATTGTCTAAACATCCCAGACATGCAATTCAAAATCAATCAGGATTTCGCTAAAAATTATAATCGGTATCGTCAAAAGGAGGAATACGAGAAACTGAAAGCTAAACACGGTGATGCTAAACTGAAGGATATTAAACTATCCAAGTTAACTGATACTAATTTCAAAGTGGACGAAGATGTAACCGCCGCTTCAGTTTCAGATAATGATGAATCTACTTATTCAAGTTCCTCAGACACTGATGATAGTTGGGAAGAAAAACAACATGATGATTTTTTAACTTTATATCAAGCATTATGTAAAAATGATCCATCCCTTAATGATCCTAATAAACAATGGTTTCGTGAACCTAGTGAATCAGATGATGAAAGTTCAAAGTCCCCAGATGAAATTTCCGAGTCGCAACTTAACAAAAATAACAATAAAGAAAAGCAAATAGACTCCAAAGCAGAAAAGAAACGCGTTTTGAAACTTCGGGATTATGAACGCGAATTTCTTTTGGCTCAAGATGGAGTGGAGGATGAGACTGTTTCAAAGGATGCACAGAAGATTGCTCAGATGGAAAGTGATGACGTTTTGAAAAAAATGAAGACACAGTCGATAGATTTGTCAAAGGAACAATTTATACAGTAAGTGTTAGCCGGCTTTAAGAAAGATTCAGAAATTATTTAGTTATTTCAGTATTAACAATTGTATGAGAGTCTACGAAGAGTTATCATCTTCTAGGGACTTAAGATACTATTAGGAGTTTTAGAGTTTAGTGTGATGCTGTGTCCTGTATCAATCCTTCGTCTTTCTGATTGATAAAGGATAGACATTTGGTTTTCTCATCATGTAGAGCTCAGAAACCACAAACCAATTTTTTTAGTTTTGATGCAAGTCGATTGACTATAGCTTTACTCACAGGCTCTTGAACATGTATATATCGCCATCCGGCTAAAAATAAATTACTTATGTGCCAGTTAACCGATAGATCCTATCGTTATTTCGTCTTTTAAAGATGTTAAAAATGAACAGTATTGCACTTAACCTATTTGTATACTCATTGACGGTCAGCAATTAACATGATTTCGTCGGAAATAAGACTTAGTTAAAGAAGTCTTTTCCCGTCAATTATTAGTGGAAATACAGTAACAATTTTTTTAGTTTCTGGAAAATCTATCAACTCCCAGATATTGTCATTTTGAAGCAAATATGCGGCGTCCTGTTTGATCTATATTCTGATAAAATTCATAGATTTCTGAACACATTGAGTAGAAGTGCGTGATTTGATTATGGGACTACGTAGTCTTTAATGTTGATATTTTACTCGAACTAATTTTTGAGAGATATGTTACATATCCCACTCACTTTATACCCAAGAGTACTATAGCAGCTGATATAGTAGCGCCTTGATAAAAGGTTGAGTGTCAAGATTATTTCATTATCCTATCAAGTCATTGACACTGGATCTGAGCCGTGTAGCTTTCGCACTTAGAGTTTACGAAGTTAATGCAACCTAAGAATAAAGACCAGGTAATGTAACGTAAACTCATTTGTAGTTACGCACGTTGATATTAATTCTTTGAACTGTGTTGTTTTGTACCTTTCATCCTCCTCTTTTTTTCCTATACCCTTATTCTTTTGTTCTACTGCAATAAGTATTGTCATTCTAGATCCTTTGTTTTAGTTTTTCGTAGGTTAAAAACATACTTCATTGCACTATCTTTACATCAAGTGCATGTCAAACACTAAATTATTCTCAAACCTTTTTTATGCATCGTATACTTCTGGGCAAATCAGTATATAATATTTCTGTCCTGTTGTGTAAGTGATTATTGGTAGCTATTTCGGTAAGACTAAACGCTGTTATCATACGTCACTTCCAACTTCAACCAATCTAAGCATTTATATTGAATTGATATCTCTGAAGATTACCGAATCTAATAAGTGGAGCTGTAATATACTAGCCTATTTCAAGCTAGTTGTAACCTTCTCCGATCCGACCAAACTTGTATCTTCTGTGTCAATATTCTTATTAATTAAGTTAATGAGTGCTTTTTAACTGACACGTTTTGAAACGGTTTCACCACATACCTTGGTTTCGATTTTGATTAAAGGTCACTATTCCAGTCAATTAATAAGCGGTTTTTCAACAACATTTTTTACATTTTGAAGTACGTTTTATTTATACTTATAGAGAGGCCAATGAAGCACTTAATCAGGCGGCTGTAACCTCAGATGAAACGAAGGACAATAGGAACAGTGATAGTAATAATGATGACTTAAATTTTTTACGGAAGCGCAAAAGTGAAATAGAACCACCTACTCCAAACAGGAAAAAGCATAAATCTCATCATGTGAGTTTGGTTAGTTATATTATTTGAAAAATCTCTTTTTATCAATACTGGAAGATAGTCGCTTCACTACTACTGCTCGAGCCTTAGTTATTGAGTGACCATTGAGTATTAGCAGTTCGATGGCCAACTATTTTGATGTTGGTCAATAACAACGTGCTTTGAGCTATTAAATTCAATAAAGGCTTAAATCACCTGTCTTTATTTTACTTAACCATCGTTGAAAGTGTTGAATGCACTTCATCTGTTTAATGTTATTTTGACATTCTTATTTACATAAAATCCCTATTTGTGGATTCCTCGTTTTTGTGTTTTATATACCATAGATTTCCATTTTTGTCATTAAAGTGAAATACGTTTTTATTAACCAAGAATACTTTATATTGTTTTCACGACTATGAAATCAGATGGAGATTGTTCATCTGCATACCCTTTTTCATGTCATATTTTGTGATGAGGTTAGACATTTTCACTTTTGAAGCCTCTCAATATCCTTATTATCAACTTAGTACCATTGAAGTTCGACATGCGCTTTTATTGTCTATATGACTCCACTCCCATGCAATTTATATAATGACATTGATTTCCCGTTCCTGATGTATAAGTAGCATTATTTTTTTAATTATCATCAGCTGACTGAAACTTAAAAGCACAAAAAAATATTAGTGGTTACTAGACGATTTTAAACACCTAACATTTCAATGGCATAAGCTTCCATACCTTAAAAAAATTTGAATTGAAGTAGAATTGAATATGGAAGTTTATATGGACAGTAATAATTATAGGTCGTGCCAAACCGAAGATTTATTGAATTGATTTTTGTTCCCGTTTCTGACTCAAATTCAACATTAATGTACCCCATATGTAATTTTGTAACTAACGATTGACACATCCCGTTAATACACAACCTAATCAAAAATCTGAAATGTCGCGGAAATATTTGTTTCATTCATTCTACTTTAGGTAGACAATCATGCAAGCGAAGACTATGCAGATGCAGCATTAAGTTGGAACACCAGCCAACTTATCCTATTTGAGGTAGTTTATCGTATGTATAAAATAGACTATATAAAATATTGCGAGCAGATACATAACCACTTAGATTATATGTACAAACGCAAGCATATGCTTCAAGTTAACGCGCAAACATTCAACAACGACAAATGTGACTGTACAGAATATCTGGAAAGATTAAAATAATTTGTCTGTCCAGAAACTGGGATCAATCACGTGGTGTGAAACTGTCTCAGGAATTGACGTCAAAAGACTTCTAGGACTACAGTGTTATGACCAAATATGACTCACAAATCAAAGATTGTTGGTGAATCTCACCGTCGATGACAATGTAAGAGTTTGTCTTGGAGCTTAGATATTGACCATTCAATCGGGCGAAAACTCCGCACGTCCTACAAGGAACTATCACTTTCAGTGGGTTTTTTTATTGCTTCACGAGTAACCAGTAATCCAGGGAAGTCATCAATTAATACTCTGTAAACTTTGGCTTCATCTGCCATGGCTATCATCAATATGTCCCCTTCTGGTTTTTTATGGAAGCCGATTAATATTGCCAAGGCACCTACTTGTCCAAACTTACTGGTATCTAATTTCAAAGTCATAGCCCAACAGCGTAGTTACCCCTTGTTATCGGCGGTGTATAAATAGGAATGCCCTTCTTACATCTGAAAACTGTCAGTGGTTTGTGACCTGTCAATAACGTGAACTGTTGACCAAACATTCTGTGGAACCTTTTCACGGCGAAAATATTGGGTAGAGCTTTCTTTCCTATTTGACTGTAATTCCTCTCTGCCAATGTCAACAATCTCAAAGGATGAGCAATAGCTTTCTCAGAGCCATTAGCATAATCTTGCGAGATAGATGTTCCTATTTCGTAGTTGGAAGCATCGGGAGCGGCAACAGTTGATAGGGCTGGGTTGTAGTGCGTAAGAAAAACGTCTGATAATAGGAGCTGTTTTATTCTCTTGATGGCTTCTCAAAATTAGACCAATTCCATCTACTATTCTTTTTCAGTAGGTAATTTAGTGGTGCGTGTGGGTCATGGAGGTCCGAAAGGTAACAGCATCATAGGGGACATAAACGGAAGAAGACGTGATCCCGAAAACATCGAGGCT